CGGCTCGCAGCTGGAGAAGAAACCTCAGCAGGAGAAGGCGTCGAAGCCACCGGTGGAAAGCACCCTGGAAGGAATTCAGAAGAAGCTGCAGGAGAAGAGGGACGAGGTGAACCGCCCCGAGGACATCAAGGTAAATCCGCGGCTATGTCGCACGCTCACACAGACGACATTAAAAGCCAAAAGACTTTACATGTTTAAAGCAGACTGCACACTCTGAATTTATTATCACACAGAGACAAATAAGTTTTGCTGCGAGCAACACGGACTGAACTCTTGTCACTTTTAAAAGGCGAGTGACTCACTTCCTGTCTCCTGCTAACAGGATATGACACGGGAGCAGATCGCCGCAGAGAAAGTCGCCCTGCAGAAAGCTCTTCTCTACTACGAGAGTATCCACGGCCGACCGGTAAGCCTCCCTCCATGTGTTTGTTTTATTTTAGACATTTTAAATGCAAAAATTTGCCCAGTTTTGCAAATAAAGCTGAACCCATATCAGTTTGTCTGGACCAAATCCAGATGCCGTAATTTTTATTCCTGTCAGTACAGTTACATATCACGCCCTGCAGAGATCTTATAGTGAAGAAAAATGGTTTTGCTGTAATTTTGTTTTATGTTAGCAAAGTAGCTAGTTAGCGTGCAGGTAGAGAGGATGACAGAAATTTGCTAAAACTGTGCTAACAGTGTATCTTTGTTCTCCCCACCTGGAGCAGATGACGAAGAGCGAGAGGCAAATCATGAAGCCAGTGTACGACAGATATCGCCTGGTGAAGCAGATCCTGTGTAGAGCCTCCACCATTCCTGTCATAGTAAGTATCACATCCCAGCCTCCCTTTAGCTGCCGGGTTTAAAGCCACACTCTCAAAACATGCACAGACACTTAATCCCAGCTCGTGCCGGCTTTAGCACCTGCTGCTGGGAACGGACAGCAGCCATGAAGCAGCTTTCAGTGCACTCGTAAAGCAAGGTCAGAGGTTACAGGCTGAGGTCACAGGAAGTGACAGCAGAGTGTTGAAGAGGCTCAGGAAGTGCAAAACAACACAGCCAAGTTAAATAAACGGAAAATAAACACAGCAAGTTCTTAAAATGTATTTTTACATATTTATATTTCAGAAATGTAGGAAAATAAATCTGCTTATGGACTAAGTGTAAAGCTCTCAGTAAAGTTATTTACTGAACATCTTTATGATGTAAGACATGATCTGCATTATGTGCATTATATAATGCACTGCATCTAATCCGCACCACGCAGGCTGAGCCTGCTGCCATATTGTTCCTGACATGGAGACGCAGAGGAGCAGACAGAGGAGCTCAAACAAAAGCCGTTAAATGTGCTTAAACCTGACAGAAAAGTGTGAAGTACTGTAAAAGAAAGAAAAAAAGGTCAGAGTTAGCGTCTCAGCGTGGTTAACTCCTCCTTCTCGACCGTCACCACAGGGCTCTCCCTCCAGCAAGCGCAGAGGTCCCCTCCTACAGCCCATTATCGAGGGTGAAACCGCACTCTTCTTCGATGATATCAAGGTGAAGAGCCATTGCTGCTGCTTAATAATCAGTGAACCGGCTCCCTCTTCCTCACCTGCTAAACTCCCACCCCTCCTCCCCCTTTATATTTACTACCATTTGCCCTCTAATGAGCCTGATTGCTGCCTGTTGATTGGGCAACTGTAGAAGTGTTGAATCAGTAGTTGCTGATCTATGAATCACTCTGTGATTGATGTAATGATGTAAGTGGATATAAAATGGGTTAAAGCTTGTTGTGATTTAAGTGCCTAAAACAAGGCTGGAATACTGGTTTATTTTTCCTAAACAGCAAATATGTGCATACAGTATATTAAAAATGTATCATTGTTATCATTATTTTTCCAGCACTGTTTGCAGGCACTCTGTGGACACCTTTTTTTTTTTTTTTTTTTTGTATTAATTGAACAGTTTTAGTTGAATAAAGGTGGCCTGATTAACTCCATTCATAAAAACAAATGATTCCAAATGACGACCATCGCGGTGATTTCTAACCTCTGTCCACTAACACTGCACGATCCTCACGCCCTGCAGTATTTGAGCCCAGGAGGCCGCCTGCTGCAGCAGCGCTCACCGCACGATGAGACCCTCTGCCCCCTCCCTTGCAGCCCGTTGAGACTAAAGCCTCCCTCACTCTCTTTGTAGGAGGAAGAGGACGGCTCGGAGGATGACGGAGACTCCAAGACCCAGTTCACCGTGACCGTGCGACCCGACATCGGCGTGTTCAGCTTCCTGGAGCACGCGGATGAGGAAGTGGATGGTTTCATTTCACCCGTGGACGAACTTTCCCCGTCCAAGAACACGATGGACACGAGGCTGTCCAACCTGCACTCAGCTACTATGTAAGTACTCGCAAAACGCTCGTTTTACTGTCAGTTTGTGACAGATTTGGGTCTGTTTGAGAGGATTAATCCTGATAACTCAGCAAAAATTGCAGATCTATCACTGTCTACATACACAGAAATCCAACCAGAGCACAAATTTAGAAATTCCTCTAAACAGAGTTGCCCAGTAACCTTGCCTTTATATAGGAATATAACCAGGATACAACCATCTGGCAACGAATTAAATCAAGTCCCATGTTGCAAAGAAACATTACACTCAGCGCACACCCATTCAAATTAATAGCAAAGTGTTTATCAGCCAGCGGTTGTTTACAAACTTTCGCCATTGTGTTGCAGAGCAGTTGCAGTCAGTCCAAGACAGACTTAATTTGTTTGGAGACAAGTTGCCTCCCACCTGTGTGACCTGTGTAATACAAAAAAAACAAAAACCGAGCCAAAGTTGTTGATTTTTGGGGGTTTTTTTTGTAAATGCTGGAAGTCTGTGTATATTTTAATGTGAGACATTTAAAAAAACATTTCTCCTCACCCCACAGGCAGGAACTTGTAGAGCAGCTCCAAGAGACGAGAGAGGAGAAGAAGAGGATTCGCAAGAACTTGAAAGAGTTTGAGGACCAGTTTTTTAGACAAAACGGAAGGTAAGAAAAAAAGAGTTTGTCAATGTCAAATATTTGGAACTGCATAATGAGAAACCTCGACACGAAGGTTTTTTTCTCGCAGCGTCGTAACGATTGCCGCCTTGTTCCTGCAGGAACGTTCAGAAGGAGGACCGCTCCCCACTGGCTGTGGAGTACAACGAATACAAGCACGTCAAAGCCAAACTGCGGCTGCTCGAAGTGCTCATCAGCAAAAGAGACTCCACTAAATTCATCTGAATAAAGCAAAGACTCAATAAGAGGACTGGTGCTGTGTCTCCAGTGTCACAGTCAACACATCTCACCTTGCTAGAAACAGTCATGTTTTCCTCGCTGTTGGATGCTGTTGACGCGCTCCGTCGAGCTCGAGGGTTTCCCTCCGTCAAATGCTGCGCCTGGAAAAACGTTGTCGTCACCTCACCTCGAGGAGGGGACGTCACTCCGGACGAAGCAACATACGCACAAACTAAACTGAATCACACTTGTATTGCTGATAATTTATTTTGAATGTTTGTCTCATGCACAGCCGTAGAAGTCTTAAAAAAACCAAAAAGAACCCAAAACACTTGATAATTCGGTCATTAGCTATAAAATTGTCGCTGCTTTTTAAGGATCGCGTGTATTTTTCTAAAGGAGATGTTACTCGATCATGCTGACAGTACCGAAGTTTCACTTTCCACAGCATTAAATCCTCTTCTGTAAAAGTTTTATCGTTTGAAAGAAGTGGTTTCCTCTTTCACTGGGGCCCAAAGACAGCAGCTCAGAGCGCACACAGTGAGCCAAAATCTTTCATCTCCTGGAAATCACCCAGTTTCAAGATGACCACTGACACTTGCTGCGTTTTTGTACGCCTTAACCTGCTTTCCCCTCATTTACTTGATGTTAAATAAGCTATCGTCCCCTTTAAATCACTGCTGTGTTTGCTCACACCGATTAACACTGACAAGGCCAGTTCTGAGGCGAGCGCGGGCGTGGTCGACGAAGCCTCGTCCTCTGGTCCTCGCTGTAGTTTGTTTGTTTGTAAATATGGATTATCGTATATGTTTACATTTCTGTGAGCGAGTACTTTATCCCTTTTTTTTCTCTCCAATTTTCTGGATGGTAATCAGTGTGAATTTGTTTTCACTGAATGTAAACACTGGCCGGGCTTAATGAACTGAGTGTGTACATTTTAGTACATAAATTGTATTTTGTATATAATGTGAATGAAATCATATTTTTACTGAAGGTTTTTTGGGCTCTGTGTTTTTTCTTTGTGAAGTTGCGAATGTTCACTCATCCAGTCGAATGACTTTACAGACAGATCTGAGATCAGTCGGTTTATTTATATAGCAGCAAATCACAACATCAGCTGCCTCAAGGCGCTTTATACAGGAAGGTAAGGACCTCCCTAGAGCACTGTGCGATGGCGGGAAGGAAAGTAATAAAAGGAAATAAAACGGGGATTAAAAGCGTGTATAAAAAAAAAACTACAGCACCAAATTAAATAAATAAAATTGTTTAAATATGAATGTACATATAAAAGATTATATGTGGTATAATAAAATTTGTCTTTCACCCATCAAGGTCTTCAGTTTAACTTAATGATTTATTGGTTTAAAATTGACAAAAAGCTTTATACCATGTAAGGATTTAAAATGTCATGTGACCTTTGACCTCTCCTTCAAGGTCAGTCAGTTGATCTCAAATGTTGATCTCAAACATCTCGGCTGATGAAGCATGTTCACTGAACGTTTGGAAGAATGGGAGTGAACTGCTTTCAAAAACTTTTTTTTTTTCTTGTAACACCTAAAATCTCACCTCTGACATATGCCCCTCATAAAATATCAATTAAAAATAAACTATACTGAAACAAGAACCCTAACCTTAACAGCAGGTGCTCAGATAAACACTAAAAAAACAACTCTATGAATCAGAGGCATCACATCTGGTCCATCTGGTCATAGGTTCATGAATTCAAGCAATTTAATGAGGAAGCTCAAATGCAATCACAGGCCACACAGAAGTCTTGCTTTTATACCGTATTTTATTGAAAACCTTGGCTGGAACAGAGAGCTTTGAGTAAATTTCAGTCAAATAATGATTTAAAAAAAAACAAAAAAAAAAAAAAAAACGTATTCTCTAGCACATTTAAAGGTGCAAAAAAGTCAAGGGCTTCACAAACCTTTGCATAGGACTAAACTCTGCAGGAGCCTTAATCAGACAAATATTGATTGAATATGCGCGTGTGTGTGTGTGTGTGTGTGTGTGTGTGTACACATGCAGTATAGAACTAAGCAATAAGATGAACTGCCAGCATTTGAGACCTTTATATGTTTGGCCCAGAGCTGTGAGTACAGAAGTGGGCTGCTTCAGGTTGTTATTGCTGAGAGGACGTGTTAGTCAGAACACATCGAGTCATTTTACTGCCCAAAGTCACATTAACACCACTGTCGTGTATGAAATGTATATAAAATATATATTATATATATGCGAGACGATTCCACGCACGTCACGCTAATACACAACCTAATTAAATGTTATCTTGTACTGCGAGGTGTCACTGCAGGAATATTTATACATCATCAGGGCAACTTTTGGAATAATATGATGGGTACAGTTTATCATCAAATGGCTATTATATGCAGACTTTTTACTAAGTCATCTGCCCACACTCTTAAAATATTCATCTCCACTTGGAGACCAGACAAATAACAATTATTAACTCTAATGTTTGTATATTTAGGTTTATGTGACATTTTGGGACATGTTTTTATTTGCTTCTTAGCAGATCGGTTCAAATGTCATTACAGAGGAATCGGTTTGCTTGGCCTAGCAAAAACACGGCTAGTTTGGCTCCGTCACACGGTGAATAAATCCAACTGAGAGCCGCTCTGATGATTAAAAATGACCAAAGTTTGTTTAACCCTCTGAGGTCTAAGTCATCATTTTATAGAAGCCATGAGAGTGTTTGTTAGGGGGGGAAAAGAAGCGTGAATAAGGCTGGGAGAAAAGTTTCATAAACACAAAAATGACAGTTTTTGTCATCCACACTTACAGGGGATTTATATTTGTAAATCTGCAACCCTGCAGCCTACACCGTAACTACACACCACATGGACACAGTCTGCGATGGCTGTGATTGGACAGTTTGGGATTGTCGTGTCCTCCTGAATATTTAAATCTACTGTGTCTACTGAAAGAGACTATATGGAATTGAAGAGAGAAACAGGACGAACTCCTGGTTTGTTGAGATACCGCTGCGTTGGCCAAGAAGGACTTTGACTGTATTCAGATACTCGTCTGTGTCAGGGACCACACTATCAGAATGTGTATCTAAAAATCTGTTTCAAAATACTTCACGAAAGCGATTAAAATTAGCACTAATCAAGGAGACTGTTCTGCATCCACGCCACGGCAAACATGGAGTGTGTATCGCTGGAAACCAGAGTGGTTAAACAAGAGGTGCTCTCTTTTTCTGGGTCTTTCACCTGTTGCTCGCACAGACTGTAGTAAAATATGGATTCTTTAGAATGGCCATTAGGGGGCGACTCTCGTGGAGAACACGCCCTGGGCTCCATGTCTCTGTAACCTCAGTAGACATTTTTCTGAAGAGTTTATGGGCTCAGTCGTTAGTTTTAGCTCACACTGAATGAAACAGGAAGTTCATTTTGTAAATGATTTTATAGTCACAAAGGAGGATTAGCCAGGATAAGCTGACTGTCCCTCGGTTTCCTCGCTCATCACGTCCAGTTTCAGGCAAAAATGATTAGCTAGGGTCTTCACTGTCCATGGGTGGTGTTATCTTGACTAGCTCCACCTTTCATACTGTGGTTATGTTGTTGCTAGGCACTGTCATCGAGGGCAAAGGTATGATGGCAAGGTCACATTTTAGATATTATAAGCAAACCTGGAAGCACTAAAAAAAAACAACAACAACAAAAACTGCAATTCCTGTAGTGGCCACTGGAGGCTGAGGCTAAGTTAATCCCCACTGACTGCCATGGTAAGACACCCAACTTAATACAATTACAAAGTGTATTTAAAGCCTGGTATCTACAGTTCCTCATTCATAAAAACCACATAGGGGCACAGACTTGTTCTATAACTCATCACGGCTAATGCCAAACTCAACATCTTAGCGTATTAGTCCAAATACAGTCATCTCATGGGGTCTTGTTTGATTGCGACCTCGCAGATGATGCGGCCCCTTTCAGCTAGAAAATCTAACTAAACAGCCAGTAAGCGCGACATCCACATGCTTGTAACAACAGGAAGTGCGATCTTTTTGTGTCCATCTGAAGGAGCCAAACATGTATTTGCTACCACTTCCAGTCTGAGCGATGCTAACTGATGCTTCATATTCAGCTGACATGCTTTTCTTGCAAGAAAGCGAATAATCACATTTCCAAAAACGTCACTGCTAAATGACAATCTGGTCTTTGTTTTCACTCTGTAACATGCACACACATCCACAAAAAAAAAATAAATAAAAATAAATAAATAAAGTTTTGTTTCCGTACAGAAGGTTTTGCTGTAGAAAGGCAACACTGTTGAATGCAGGTTCAAGAACAAAGTCAGCTGCTCTGTGAGCCACAGCTAAAACAGAACGAGGGATTGCAAACGATGTTCAGCATGCTTCGCTCCCTGCCTGACTCGCTTGTCCTCTTTCAGAATCAGGCATAGAGGACATGCTGGTGGCAGATTTAAAAGGATCAGCGGGACTAACACTCCTCCCAACCTCACAGTGAAGATTATATTCAAAGTGCTATTTACATACATGTATATATGTATGTGTGTGTGTATGTGTGTGTGTGTGTGTGTGTGTGTGTTAATTTTGTCAAAAAATAACCACTCTATTTAATAAATTAAAAGTAACAAAAAGCAATATATTGTCTCAAGGTAATAACATGATTCTTTAATGATTAAAAATAGAATTTAAGGAATATAAAATACACAGCTTTGCAAACAAAACAAAGCAAAAAGAAATTAAGAGTTTCTCAACCTTCTCTGGTCCTGGTTTTTAGGTCCCGAAGTTTTCATAATCCAGGGTCGTTCTGCACATTTTAGTCCATTTAGTGCTTTTTTGGTTAATTTCCATGTTGGCTGTTATCTATCAGTCATTTGATTCTCCTCTAAATGGTCCTGGAAGGCTGAGGAACTTTGCCCAAAGCAAAAAAGCAATAACACTCTGCATTTACATACATAGACCTTTAAGATTCAAGATGCTTAACGATCTTGTTAGACCATATATAAACAGAGTGACCCTCCCGTGTCCAACAATTGCCCACTCACACTCTTGACACTCACGTGGGGGTGTATTGCTGTTAAAGTGCGTTAAGTCTCCCCTGGGACTCCCCTCAGACCAGGCTGAAGCCCTCGTACTGCTCCACGGCTTGAGTGAGGCGGCGGCGCAGGATCTCTTTGGTCTGGTAGCGGGGCATGTCCAGCAGGTTGTAGCATGTGTGGGCCACGGGCAGGTAGTGCTCCTCTGCTGTGGTAGACTGGATGATGATGCGCAGGCTCTCCATGCCGTGGATGGGAATGCGGTCACTACCGGTCAGGAACACTGCAGGCAGAAAGGGGACATACAGAACAGAGGTAAAACAAAATTAGGGAAGCTCTCTGAAACATGTTTGTGCTCTTGTGCAGACACAAGCTTGATGTTTCTGGATGTTATTAATAAATCTGGTCTTTGCCTGTCTAGACAATTTTTGACTCGCAGAGAATATTGCTCCGATTTTCATATTTTGGCTAAAAGTCATTCTTGGTTGCAATGAAAGCAACATGCATGTTTTTTTACACTGCAAAGAAATGCTTGTTTAACAGAGAAACCTGCCCACAGAACTCTTTGGGCTTTAAATACACTTTAAATAAATGTGTAAAATTACAGAACAGAAAAAAAGAAAGAAAAAGAAAAAAATTGCATTATTCTCATTATTAAGATTGAAAAACCTGAAATTCTGCATTCAGAGACTCATTAAAAGTGGCTGCAGCGAACGACCCATAAGTTCAAATGTTAGGTTTGTGGTTAGCTGGCCTGAATGGACCCTTCAGAGTGCCAGTTCTGCCCCCTGGGCCAAATGTTTGACACCTCTGATCTAGGAGCAAGAATCACAGGGTGATTTTAACAGGACATCGTCATGCCACACTTCCCACAACAGCAGCGGTATCACTATGCTCGACATTATTTAATCATATCATTTACTATTACTAAAGAATTCAGCATAATTGAGGTCTTGTAAAGTAAACAGTTGAATCTGAATGAAACACTTTATTCAAAACTCCTGAAATGTGTGATTATTTTCATTAACACTGAAAAGTTCTCGCTTTCGTTAAAGCAGCACGAAGCAGCTCTGCTGTCTTCACGATCTGCTCTCATGACCTGCAAATTATTACACTGCAAAGCGACTGCGGGTAAGAGAATTAAACTGCCACGCAGATCATTTAAGGAGGCAATTAAAGGCTTACACAAGAACTGCTTCTTCTTTTCCAGAGGGAACTCGTGGAAAACCTCCCAGAACAATCTGACTGTTGGATGAGTGGCGGTGTACTCCCCCTTATAAACGGCGTTCTGTAGAAAGAGAGGAGAGATTTGGAGATTAAAAGCCTGTTTTACCATCAGTAAACAATTTGATTTGTGGAAAACATGTTAGTTCCTTATCAGTCAGGAAATAAAGTCCTCAGAGACGTGCAACAATCTGGGTGATTTTTGCAACTACTGGCCTAAAAAACAAAACAAATCAGTTTCCCAGTTTTTTGACATCTGACAAAACAATCTGCTGTGCAGATGTTGTAATCTGCACAAAAAGGACCTCTGGACACAGGAGATAAAGTCACGGGTAAAATATGTGAAGAACTGTTTTGGCTCATACCGTTTATGATCACATCCAGAGCTGCAAAGTAAGCCAAATGTCACAACAACCCACAAGAGCGGAGTTTCTAAATCATTTATTCGCCTCCATATTAAATGATCCAGAGGTGTGCCTTTTCAACATCTGGCAGGAATAACACGAAACACACGAGAACGAGCCTTTCAGAAAAGATCAGATTTATCTACAGTTTTCTTCACCATCCAATCTAAATTTTAACTTACCTAATATGATGATTTGTGAATATATATTTAGAATATTTCTGACAACATAATACACGTTTTAGTATTTTGCAACTAAAGGTACAAGATTGGTAAACCACAAACAGCTGAAACATTAAAAAGTAAACTAAATCTATAAATTATTTATTATCATTACACATGTGCAATGAATTTTGATGCAGTCTTATCAGTGCAAACATTTGAAAATAATATGTATATAAAGTAAATATATGTACACAAGTAAAAACCCATCATCCCAAACAATCCTTCACACTCTATGGGCATTCATTGCAGTTGATTCTCTTAAAAACTGCACATTACTACAAGTGTATTTATGAGTTTTGGATAAAAAAAAATTCTTTGGTTCATGTTTTTAATGTCCTGAAACATCTGCCCTTGCGCTGACATTCAAACAGAAAGTGGTGCAGGGGGGATGGATGTTTCAGGACACTCTCAAATGACCGTATGACACTGGAATAGCACACTACAGAAATATCTCCTGAAGTTTGATTTCTAACTTGCTAATACTGCGTCAAACTCAATTTTTTTTGTCGCTTTAGCACTGCAGAATTTATACTTATTGTTCCATTTTTTCTTTTGCATCCAGTAAAAAGACAATCGCAACAACCAAACGTGGTTCGCCGGTATCTGTGTCTTACACCAGTGAAAGAGCCTTTTCTTTCCTGCTTCTTACTAAAGACGTAAACACCTATAATTAATCTTTCAGGTACAATGTAGCACCGCCTGAGGTGATGGTTTGAAGTAATGTTTGAGGGTGTTTCTCACTACCGTTCTAATCTACGATGCTAAAGCTAAACATCTATCATTCACTGAGGCTGGTATGTAGAGCCGCAGGCATGGCTGCAGTGGTTATTCTGAGCGAGGCAGTTCCCTGGTTATATAAACACAAAGCTAAAAACTACATCATTCTTTCCTGTGGTCGATGACAAGGATTTTAGGGTTTGTTTTTTTTTTAAATGCAGCATCTGAACAAATCTTTCACATATAAACTATTGGTCTGCAAACACTTGTGCTGCAGGGGATTCAAGATTTTAATCCAACAATGACAACAACAAAAAAAGAAAAACACACACAGTGAGGAGAGGCTTTGCTGACCCTGAGCTGGAAAGTTGATCAGAGCAGTCGGAGTACATGTGCAGATGATTAAACCACACACTGACCTTCTCCATCTCCTCCCAGTTGTAGTTATTATTGCCGACCACCATGGCCATCAGCTCGGAGGGCTGGAACAGAGACAGGATCTCACCACCACACACCTTCAGGAAACCAGCAGAGAAGGCAGAGTACTGCTCCCCCACCGAGTCTGAGAACACGTAGCACAGGTAGGCCTCCACAAACTCCTTCCTGAAACACACACACACACACACACACACACACACACACACACACACACACACACACACACAAATAGGTTCAGTAAATTTATTTATTCAGATGTCAAAGTGGGACTATAAACACTCTCTTCCTCTCTCATTGTGTCTGAATCCGAGTGTGTTCACATTGTCTGAGCCGTCTGTTCAAAGCTTTTTTTGGTTTGTTTCTTGAAACCTGCTTGGAACTCATCAACGTCCTCTTCATCCAGCCCGCTCTAATTTTGTTTACACCTCTGTGAGGTCTTAGCGCAGAAGTTGCTTAGGTAGATTAAACCTCTAATCTCTTCATCTGTGCTGGAGCCACCTGTGAGTGCGTCAATATATGTGTAAATACTAAAACAGATTTGTTTTCACTGTGCCAAGCTAAACTACAGAAGCAGGACACAAAATGCTGAATAAATCCCCTGAAAGACTTATATTTAAACAGAGTTCCTAACATTAATCTATTTTAAGACCTCTGAAATGAATGCTTAAAAGTAAAATTACTGTACTGAAGGAGAGGAATGTGCAGCTTCAACATTATTTTTAAATTTGGGAAACCAATGGAAAGCTTTAGTTTGGGCTGAGCAACTACTGCACTAAAGTCAGTGACAGAGATCCATGCATTTATCAAACATGTCAAAGACAAAAGGGAGAAGAAAGCAGAACATATTTGTCACTTTCCATCACTAGTCAAAGTCAGACTTCAGTCTGATTGAGATGCTTTGTCGTGTCCTTTGAACAGGCCGTTCAGAAACCCTCCAGTGTGGCTGAATTAAAACAGTTCTGCAAAGAGGAGTGGGACAAAATCCCTCCACAGTGATGTGAAACACTCACTGCCAGTAATTACAAACACTTGATTGCACAAGCATTAATAACTATTAACTGGTAACACAACTAGTTATTGGTTTTAGGGAGCAATTAGGTTTTAAGAACTTTTCTTTCCCCGTAATAAATACATTTTATATTCACTCAGGCTATCTCTGTCTAAGACATGTACTCAGCTACAACAACAGGAAACCCCAAGCCAACCACACACAGTGCATAACAGCATCTTAATAGATTCAAAATAACAGGTTAAAAATCCCAAAGTGAATCAGATGTCGGGGATTCAGAAGAAACCAGTTACTTTAACTCAAATGTTCAGGAACGCGCAATCCTCGAGCAATCACTCCAAGAAAGAAGAAAAAGAGAGAAACCAGATTTTTAAAACCTTTTCCCTGATCACACACACAGAAAGTAATGATGTCGTTTCATTTAGAAAGCGAGGACTCTGTGTAGCAGCTGCTGCCACAAACCCCCGTTCAAACAGGGAAGGTACCAACAGAAGGACCAACATGCTCCAACAGTTGGTCAGAAGGTTCCTTTGTAAGTGCGCATGCGCCATTAGCGTACTGCCTGCTGTAACCCTAATTTCCCTCGGGATTAATAAAGTATTCTGATTCTGATTGATTCTGATTCTCCTGAAATTTGAGAGAAATACACAAGCAGGTCTTCTCATATAGGAAACCAGCGCACAGACACGCACACAACTGCTTCACGTCAACAAGCTAATAAATACAGGCTTCAGACCAATGCTACAGTCTTCCCAGCCAAGCAAGTCACACCCACAGGGGTCACAAAGCCCTGCAAACACCAAACTTGTCTTACACAACACAAAACGAAACAAAAACAAAGGCAGGATTCATCAGTCTGATAAAGTAACCTTCAGTATCAAAATAAAACGTGCGGTATGAGATGCTGCTTTAACACCACAATCTAATATTCCTCTTGTTCTAGTTCCATATCTGAGTGTCGAAGGGATTTTGGAGAAACAATTTGTGTTACTGCTGCTCTCGCCATCTGTTCAGCACCAGCAGCCAGACATGTTGACACCGCCCGCCCCCAAACGCTCTCTCTCTGAGGACTCCTTCACATAACGCTGTAATCAGTGCCACTGGCACAAGGACAGCAGCTAGAAATGAGGCGCAATAGCACGGTGTGAGTGAATCTAAAAAACTGTGTCTGTGTGTGCAGCACAGATCGTGGCCTTCAGCTCCAACAATGGGACACAAGCTGCTGGCTCCATGAGCGCATTATAATCTCTGTGCGGGGAAAAAAAAAAGTAAAATCTCACAGTCTTTGCTTCTTCCTTCAGAGAGGACAGAGCGTGTAGCACTGAAAAAATGGAAACGTTCATGAAATTAAATCTAATCTGGTAAACGGGCTGGTTCTTATATAGAGCTTTTCTACTCTGAGAACTCAAAGAGCTTTTTATAAAGCTTCACTCATTCACACCAGCACTTTTTTCTATGCTTTTCCTATCCAGGTCAGGGCTCGCAAAATCGCTAGCCCGACGTCCCGGGGCTAGCGATTTTTCCAGTCGGGCTACCAAAATCTATCTCAGCCCTGCCCGTCGGGCTATCATAGGAAGGAAAAAATATATGTCAATGCTTTTGCATTCTTTCGGAAATGTAGCTGGGTAATTATGTCATTGGCATCGGTGAGCCACTGTCAATATGTGACATATTGAAATCGCGTTTGAATTTGCGCTTGTTTTTTGCTTTCACTTTGCAAATGTCCAGGTGCCTTCTTTTGGCGCACCAAGTCACTCGGGTCAGAACATGGGGTGCCACCATCATCCCACTTCTGACACCAATGTGGCGAGCTCAGACAAGAGGAGACGGAGGTGTCGTTTGGTCTTGCCTCCCGTGAGCTAGCCAGGGAGCACAGCCGTTTATTGACATCTGCAGAAGAACACTGCCGCTAGCTAACTGCTCAGCGCGGCAACCGCACAGCAACAACAACAACAACAACAACAACAACAACACCACACAGGGCGCCCTCTGACCCCGGAAGGACACACCGTCGCAGCGAGAGGGCGTCACCCGTCACTATGGCAACATAAACAAAACATAACTGTACAAACAGAACCCCGAACAGCCCTGGCCCGCTACAATATGCTGCTGAGAATATAGCCCAGAAGAAGCGTATAGTATAGCTTTTATTTTGGAAAGAGCCATTTCTCTGTAATAAACTCTCTTTTCCAAAGATGAGTGCTTCCTCAATCAGATACAGGTGTTACCGCGCCAGATCCGCGGCCCCGAACCGTAGTAAGGAAACCTCTGGCAGTTACTTGAAGGTTCCGTAACTGACTCGTAGCCGGCAACAGCTTACTATACAGGTCAACTCCGCTAGCAAAAAGATAGAAGGAGGCATAGGAAACTGCTTCACCGAACTTTATTTCTTCTCTAAGGCACGAACACCGCGTACAGTGGCTGAAACAGTTTACTCACAGCGAGCATCGCCGACACAACTCTGGCTGTCGAGGGAGTTATTATATTCCTTTTATTTATTTTCTTTTCGTCTCTTCTGTAGCTAACCGTTACTTTTTCCCCTTCTCCGCTCTCTCTCTTCACACATACACCAGGCAGTCCCGCTACACACATCCCGAATACATTTCCCATCAGGCTTCATCCTTAAAGGGCCATACCTGTAACACAGGGCTCGCAAAATCGCTAGCCCGACGTCCCGGGGCTAGCGATTTTTCCAGTCGGGCTACCAAAATCTATCTCAGCCCTGCCCGTCGGGCTATCATAGGAAGGAAAAAATATATGTCAATGCTTTTGCATTCTTTCGGAAATGTAGCTGGGTAATTATGTCATTTGCATCGGTGAGCCACTGTCAATATGTGACATATTGAAATCGCGTTTGAATTTGCGCTTGTTTTTTGCTTTCACTTTGCAAATGTCCAGGTGCCTTCTTTTGGCGCACCAAGTCACTCGGGTCAGAACATGGGGTGCCACCATCATCCCACTTCTGACACCAATGTGGCGAGCTCAGACAACGAGGAGACGGAGGTGTCGTTTGGTCTTGCTTCCCGTGAGCTAGCCAGGGAGCACAGCCGTTTATTGACATCTGCAGAAGAACACTGCCGCTAGCTAACTGCTCAGCGCGGCAACCGCACAGCAACAACAACAACACACAGGGCGCCCTCTGACCCCGGAAGGACACACCGTCGCAGCGAGAGGGCGTCACCCGTCACTATGGCAACATAAACAAAACATAACTGTACAAACAGAACCCCGAACAGCCCTGACCCGCTACAATATGCTGCTGAGAATATAGCCCAGAAGAAGCGTATAGTATAGCTTTTATTTTGGAAAGAGCCATTTCTCTGTAATAAACTCTCTTTTCCAAAGATGAGTGATTCCTCAATCAGATACGCAAACGCGCGTTGCAACTTCTTATCTGGTGCGAGTCTTTTATTTTGACAGCGAATGCGCACATGCGGACCACTTATGTGCACCCGTGTAAATAACATAATGTTCTGCCGGGTGTGTTGTTGGTTTTCTCTCGATTTCTGAGTCGACAAGCGCCTTTGTTACTGGGACCAGTCATTTTAAGAAAGGCCCCCATTAGAACCCATGAGAAATGCAAGAAATGCATTATTGCTCAGTCTGCAATATCTTTCCCAGAACAAACACCAATTGCAAATAACATACTAAAAATAAACCTGAAAAATCTGTTTAGAACAGCGTACTATGTTGCAAAGAGTGAACTACCACTGGCAAAATTTAGCAGTCTTTGCAAACTTCAAAAAGCAAATGGCCTAGATCTTGGTTCCACTGTCTCTTACCCGTGACTTCAGCGGAAATTTCAAATTCAGGATCTGACACAGACTGATTCATGTCCTACACAGTTCTTACAAGTTCATAGAAATTTCTGTTCAATTAGAACCAAGTATTTGAGTTGATGATTGTAATTTTTATACAATGTTGTAATTTGTTTTTCAACAATTTTTTGATTAATGTTTTGTTTCCTTTACAATATTATACTTTAATGTATAATATTGTAAAGGAAACAAAACAGGAAACAAAACATCAATCAAAAAAATTGCTCTCTTTTTTATTCGGGCTACTTACATTTATTTTTGGCTACCAAAAACTGAAGAGTCCCTGCCCGAAGGGCTACCAGGGATTTTGAAATTTTGAGAGCCCTGCAGGTGCTTTCTATCCAGCATTGACACACATTCACATTCCCATGGATGCATGGGAGAGCAACTTGGGGTTAGTATCTTGCCCAAGTATATTTGACCGGAGCAGACGGGGATTGAACCACCAACCTTCCGATTAGTAGGTGACCTGCTCTGCCTCCTGAAATACCGACTGAAACGTGCTGAAAAGTCAGCTTAAATTTTCAGTGTGCGTTTTTTTGATTTGTCGAGTCACCAAACCTGTTGTTTTTGTCCACAGCGACGCTCTCTCCTCCGGGAATCAGCTCCTTGACTTCTGTCATCCCGTAGTTCTCCCTGGTGATCTAAGACATGAGCACAACAAACAGACTCACTGTGGAGTTTTTTTACGTTGCAAAAGTGCACAAGCCGCACAAGATAATTGCAGCTTTATTTTTTTAACATTTTAAAGTTAAAGAAGTCCTGTGATGCTCCAGTTTTGTTTTTTGGTTTTTTCCAAACACCAAAACCGTCTGTCAGCTAAACCTCACACACACACATATTTTCCTCTGCAGTCAAAGACTGTTTTAGGCCCTTCTTCTGTATCACAGATCTTTACAACCAAGGATCCCTTAACATGTGCTGTACTTCATTTTCAGTTAACCCCACATTGTAGAAGCCAGAGGATCAATTCAATTCAATTGTCTTATTTATATAGCGCCAAATCAGTCGTCTCAAGGCTCTTCATATTGTAAGGTAAACACCCTAGTGCCTGTGTGGTACACAGATTAAAATGTATGTCAATCAATTACAGAGACTCCTGATCCAAACTTGTTATGTATATAAAGCACACGTGTCCACAATATCAATTTCTTCCATTCTAACCTCTCCATCACCACCATGAGGGAGACCAACGAGCCATCAAAGGACATCAGGGACAAGATTGTAGACCTGCACAAGGCTGGAATGGGCCACAAGACCATTAGCAAGAAGCGTGGAGAGAAGGTGACAATGCTGGTGTGATTATTTGGAAATGCAAGAAATATAAACTGATCACCATGAAAAGCCTGCCCTATGGGATGAGGGTGATGCATCACCCCAAAACTGGCAGACAGGACCAAGAACACCATTGGCAATATGCTACGTTGTAATGAACTGAAAATCTTTCACCACCTATGAAGTGTTCAAGATGGCACTTGTAACGGCCAGTCTTAAGTTTGCCAATGAGCAAGAGAAGGCTTGGGAGAAAATGCCGCGGTTAGACGAAACCAAAGATCAGACTCTTTAACATCAACTTGACTTGAAATACGAGATTCTTTGAGTATGAACACCATCCACATAGTCAAGCAGGGAGGTAAAGCCATTGTGCTTTGGGGCTGTTTTTCTGCTAAGGACAGGACGACTTCAACACAATGAGGGGCCACTGTGGCCATGTAATGTAAAATATAGCCTCTGTCCCTCAGCCAGAACAACGAAGATGGGTCATGGATGTGTCTTCCAGCACAACAATGACCCAAAATATACCACCAAGGCGACAAAGAACGAACAGTCGTGAGTCATTCTGTAACGTAGAACTTCAAGGAACATATTAACAATAAACAAAATAAAGAATAACACCAGCCTTTTTCACACACGTGGCATAAAAATCAACAAATAAAAAGTTACACTTACAGCAAAGTTGAGAAGAAACGTCTCCTCCACGTCACTTCCTTCATAGTCTAAAAGCTGTTGTAAACTCCTGGAGAAACAAAGAAATCAACTCATAAAAACCAACACAGAAAACTCAAACTGTCATTTGCTCAGCAGACAGAAGCAAAACAAGGAAAGTTAAAACTGTATTATGGTGTTACACACAGTGTTATAGTCACTGCTTGGAGCTGTAGTAATACAGAACTTGTCGGTAACACTCTTTGCAGCTCTTTGGTGTTATACTTGTATTTAACTCTCAACTCTATCCACGTTTGACCTTTACATTGAAAACCCAGGGATCAGCCGTGCTGCTCCAACAGCTCCGTAGATGAAACAAATCGTGAACACAGGCTCTGTCAGATTAGAGGTGAATTATTAATAATAGGAAATGACTCACAGGGAGTGTTGTGTTAGTTTTCCTGAAAAGAAAATGCTAGATGTTATAACCACCAATAACAGGAAGGACAAATGGGCTGCCAACGGAAATGCTAATTAGCCAAAGGGGATATATTATTATTGTTTTGCAATTTGACCCAAGTTACTCGGCTGAGGTCACAGTACAAAGAAAATATCAAACAATGTTTTATCAGAAAGCAGAGCTGGTGTCTGCTTCTTATCTGTGTGTTGTCTCCACTGTGCTGCCTTTAGCCTGTTGAAGCTGAACGGCTCAAAAAGACAGACAAAATAATAAGAACAAACATTTTAAGATGTAGTGTCCTTTAAGATGGTGTTGTCTCGAGAGCAACAGGCTGCTGCAGCCCGTACGTATCGGTAATCACATTCAATGGATAATCGCAAAATCAATAGTTGACTGGAGACAATTAGGCTGAACGGAAATGCTGACCGTTCCTGCTCTAAATTCAATGAAGTGGCAAACAATCTCACTGCTACTCTGAAAAGCAAAAACACTGCTTATGTAAACAAGTGGCACACGGATTTGGCATCCGGGTGCAGATTTGATCCTAACCCCGATGAAGGTAAACATCCTTCTAAAGGAGGACTATTTCAAGTCGCTGGCCCAAGGCTGAGATATTATCATCACTTTACTCTGACAGCCCTGCGTGTCCAGACTTTCTTCTCTTCTTGCTAATAGGTTAAAATTAATGGAGTCATAATCTTTTTTTATTCCAGGCATTTTTTAAAATCATTGCACCAATTTATTTCTTTGTTTCTGTGGGACAGTAAAGCCCCCAGATTGGGACTTTCTTTATTAGAACAATTTACACGTTTTATATATCGGTCTTCACATATTCATACATTTATCGACCGGCTTCACTCGCCGAGTGTAGACTTGAGATTCAATCTCGCTCATCCTTTTCTTCATCTGCCTCTCTAATCTACTCTCCATCACCTATTAGGGCAAGATTTATTAAACAGAGCAAAACAGCATCTGAGTGCATTCACCAAATAGTGCTAACATTCACTACATTTCACTGTGTGTTATACTTGTATAACTATGCATGTGACAAATAAAGAAGCTTGAACCTTGAACCTAACAGGTGTGTTTAGTTTTACAGGTGATTAAGAAAAATACACAAAAACCCAAAACTGTAAACTTCGTGCTTGATTTAAATATTCTCCTCCTTATATTTTGCACCTTAACTCCCAGAAATACAAATGCTACACAGTAGGTCGCAAAAATCTGTGAGTTCCCTCCTCTTACGCGCAATCTTAGGATTCAGTCTCAGTTTGAAGTCTCATTTTAAGTCATTTTAAGTCTGCGATGCCGTTATTGAAAAAAACCCTGTGCTCTTACTTATGCCTCCTATCTTCTGTGACATAATCGAGGCATTCAAGTTATTTTATTGTCCCATTTATTTCTTTATTTCCAGATTAGATTCTGTGCCAGGTTTCAACTTACACTATTTAAGATATAGAATCCACTTTTCAAGGTCTTATTTATCAAGAACTTACCCCAACATTATGGACCAATGTGCCAGATGTCATGCCTCACCTTGTTTGTCTTTTGCTTCAGACTGCATAATTTTTTATGGAAGGTTTTAGGAACCCAATAACAAACTGACCACTTCCATTGCTATATTTGGGGGTTCCACTTGTTCCCCAAACATACCTTGCTTGCATGCAAACATCGCTTTTGGTGAGATCTTTCTTCCTATTGTTTGTATAGGTCCTCAGTCATTCAGGTCGTGGTAGTTGAAGGATCTTGAAAAAGAACTTGACTTAAGTTTTGAAGACCTCTCACCTAAGAGGTCTCTTCAGTTGCATCCTATTCCCCTGGAAGTCCACTAATCCCACAGTTATCTCTCTTTATGCTTTAAGGATGTCATGTCATTTCTTAAAACTTAAAGACTGTTCTGCTGAGTTTGATCAAAAATTGAATTCTTTCATTCATTATTTTAAGTCTTTACCAACTCAGAGTACAGATTAACCCTTATATATAAATAAATATATAGATTAAAAAATGAATTAAAAATAAATGGTGAGTTGCAATGTGCCATGTTTACCGGGCTTCGGTGGGTGAGAGCTCTTTGAAGTCCTCCAGCGTGGGTGACACCTCGAGCAGCTTCTTGTAGAGAGCCAGGGGGAAGTGGAGGTCCACCACTGTGGCGTTATAGATGGCCAGACCGCAGATGATCCCGATCAGGTGGAACCAGTTCTGCTCTACAAAACACTGGAGATGCACGCAGAAACATTATTTTCCTGTTGCCTTTCTTTTACCACTTCTCTGTGGCTGAAATCTGAGCAGAGTCTTTGGTGGCATCATGTCAGCTGGCTCAACGTAACTCGACAATTTCTCACATCCCACGAGCTGAAAAATGTTATACGGTACACCAGCAGTAAATTCACACTCACAGAACTATACAAATATGAAAAAGGTACCTTTCTTCTTAACTCTAAGATATCAGAGCTTCGAGGTAAATATGCTATCATAAGGATAGAATAAAGCCAAAATATGGAGATTAAAGTTGTCATTTAAAGTAAACAACTGCCAAAGCTTCTATTACCTCTACAAAATTGTGTAGACGAGTTAGTGAAATCACACTTAAGAATCAGCTTTAGTAACAAGGAAAATTGTTTGTGTTTGTGTGCTAAAAGGGAATTTTTATGATGAGTATAAGGACGCTGAAGAGAAGGAGAAAAAAAGATAAAACTTGGAAGAGTTAGCCAGATTTGTACAAAATGAAAAAAAACTGGCAATGGACAGATGTGAGGATGTCAATGGTTACACCCTCGTGCAAGAAAGAGACTGTATGTTGTATCACAAGGCACAAAAACACAAGAAAGCTGATGAAGCTGTTTCACTAACTCATCTACACAAAGCAGTCTGTAGAGGCTATGGCAGCCATGACAGTTGTTTGAATTGAAACAAACAGCTGGTCAGTAGATCACCAGTGGGCTTCATCCAATGATCGCTAAGTATGTGCCTAAAAATACACCAACCATTAACCTACCGAATAGTTGAGATATTCTGGAACAACATAGTGGACCCTGAAACCAACAACACCACCCCTCGAGCGCAACTCGCCACACCAGATCATCTTCCTCCATCTCACTCTATCCCTGACATCCTCCTCTGTCACTCCAACCCTCTGCATGTCCTCCTTCACTACATCCATGAATCTTCTCTGTGGTCTTCCTCTTTTCCTCGTCTCTGGCAGCTCAATCTTTAACATCCTTTTTCCAATATTCACTGTCCCTCCTCTGCACATGTCCAAACCATCTCTTGTCTCCACTCAACCTGAGATGTCCCTTTGGTGTACTCATTTCTAATCATGACCTTCTGTCTCACTCCAAAAGAAAATCTTGACATCTTCTAGATTATCACTATGGCTGCAACTGTGTGTTATAATTATGTGCCAGAAAAGGAATCTTGGACTATATAAAATAAATGCTACTCTCATGCAAATACCTCTTACTTTTTTACTTAATAATTTTACAAAGAGTTAGTTTAAAAGGGGGGGGGGGTGATTTTGACCTTAATTTGAATGACAGAGAGGTGACTGACTGAACAGAGCTAATATTATGTTGTTTCCAATCTCAGTCAGCATGACGGTCAAGGCTGAGGGACGAGCTCCCTTATAGAGGTGAGTGTTTTGTAAACCTTAGTGTTCCCACTGACATACAGCATCTCTGTGTATAACTGCAGAAACAGCAGCTCTTCTTCTTGGAAAAAACAGCAGCAGTCAAACAACTGCCAGTCCACATTCGGGTAATCAATTATAGGCCGACTGCTCTTTAGTCCAAAAAAAAAAACAAAACAAAAAAACAAACCCAGACAAAAGAAAGCTGAAAGGCTTCAAACTAAAAGGAAAAGGTCAGTGGATTTATTGAAACACTGACTTCTCTTTTTGAGCAACAGATATGACTCGTCCATCCTGCGCATGTCAAAGAGACATTATCTCCAAGGGGCAAATTAGGCTGGACCCCACACAGCCCAGACAAGATGCTTCAAACCTAAAACAAGGCTGAGTGCAATTTACACACACAGCACAGGAGCAGTATGCTTACTAATTACTTAAATCTTCTTTCTTTTCTGACGTCACTGAGATCTCATAATATCATTATTAGCCTAAACGCTTTACTTCCCAGAAAACAGCTGAGCTAAAAGCCAACAGCACAGGCTGCTTATTGTCAGCAAGTCCAAATATGTTTCAGTCTGCAGAGTCACAGTATTTTTCTTTTTCTTTCAGAGGTAGAAAAAAAAAAGTGGACCACTGTATGCAGCTTTCAGCTTTGTGACTGAAATGCAATAACCCCTGTAAAGCATGGATTAGCTGTGCTACACTGTTGTGCATTAGGAATTAACCGATGATTTTAGTTCATATCCAAAGTTACTTAAACAGTTGTGTGTTTCTAAATTATCCATAAACTAAATAAATAAATAAGCTGTCTCTGATCTGTCTCTGATGTTTTAAAACACAGTCTCCAGATTAAGTATCATTTTTCTTCTGGATAACCATCTCAAAAGATGAAGTTTCCTATTTGAAGACATTGCAACTACTCATTCATTAAAACCTGTTCACAGCAGGTGCAGCAGTTGGAAAAGAGCTTCGTGTTTAACTGTCTGCAGCAGTGCGGCTCACCGTAATGCTTCAAGTTGAAGGTAATATGCTAAAATTAGACTTAATTATATTTAAATATACTCGATAAATACTTTAACATACTAATTCCACTGCCTGTTAACTGTCAACCAGGGAAACTCACTTTATCTGAGAACCAGAGCAGGTTGGACTCTTTGTAATGAGTGAACATCCCGTACACGGGATCCATCAGCTCCTTCAACAGCAGCAGGAAGAACTCTTTAGTTACGCCGCCTGCGTCTACGGCCTCCTCTCCATCAAAGATCACCTGGAGGGAGGAAGAAGCAGATGAAAAACAAAAACAAATCTTCGCTTTGTCCAAGTTACGCCTCCGGTGAGTGCCGCCTCTCACCTTGAGTGGTTTCTTGAGGTCCACGTCAGAGTACATGGTGAGCTCACGTAGTGTGTCGCTTACTAAATGGCTCCTGCGCACATGGAGCACCAGGTAAGGGTTCCTAGCGAGGTGGGGTTCCAGTGTGAGCAGCATAAAGACATTGTGTAGGTTTGCACCGCTTACTGCCATCTTGGTAACGGACACAGGTGGAGAGAAATGGATGAAACAATGTTCACATGAGAACGAGAACAATTAAGAAACATTTGCTGACACATAAAGTCTGTCAGCAGCGGATACCTGCATTTGCAGTTCAGCATCAGTTTGCAGCATGGTTGTCTTGGCTTTTGCGTTCAGTATGAACGGGTAGGCACACAGGTTTACTGCGGGAAAGTCACTCTGCAGGGAAAACAGAATGAATGCTTAATAAACCATCACCATTTAAATGAATCACATTTATCTATTATCATTTATCTTAATAACTGAGTCTTTAATTCAACTACCTGTGAAGGGGATGATCCCACTTTCTAAAAATGAGAATGAAAGAAAAGTCATCTGATCAAACCTGACACTTGAAAAATAAAAAGACATTTAAAAGTAGAAACGAAGAGATTTTTAAATTCCTTCCAATGCCCGAGTGTTGTTTATGAAACAAGTGGGCAGCAAGAAGAGACAAACAGACCTGACAAACACAGATGCCTTCCCAAAAACCTATCCCAAACTCAGTACTCACAATCTCAGCTTTACTCAGAAACCATTTGAGGTAGTCTTCCTGGATGTCCACGAGGCTGGTGATGTCTGGGATGTAAAAGCGGTTGTACTCCACGTGTTGTGCCTTCAAGTTTACCTGGTAACATGGAAAAAAAAACCTGCTGATCTCCAGGAAATGTCACAGTACACGGCAGACTACAGATTACCGAGAACCATCTGACCGTGACACAAACACTTCCTTCTTGGATTGTATTGCCGAACAAGCACAGCTGAGAACGGCGAGTGTCGTTTGTGAATACCTTGTGGAGCTTTTCCAGCAGCCGAAGAGTTGCAAGAAAATAGTTCTCATAGAACATGGGCACGAGCACCGTCTTGCCTCCTGTTAGCATAAAGACAACAATGCTCTTGTACATGTCGACCATTCGGGTGAACACGCTGCCATCCACGATACACCACCAGTTGTCTGCAGAGACATAAAAAGGAGAGGAAAATAAATGACCTCAACCAAATACACCATGATATTTTATGGTGGACTCAAGTAGCACTGATGTTGTCAGTTTCTTCTATGATGTATTGGAATTTCAGGAATTACACAATAGCAATGCTTCTGTTTTAGCAGTCAAATGAGCTTGCAAAGAAAAGCGTCTGGACTTCTTTAAGTTACTTGAAGACGTTTCACCTCTCATCCGAGGCGCTTCTTCAGTTCTAAGGTCAAATGGTGGAGAGTCCCAGATATAAACCTAGTGGGAGTATCCCCCCCACAGAGGGACAAAAGGACCCCCTGATGATCCTCTAATCGCCTGAGCCAAGGTGTGAAACTGGGTGTGGGTCCCAATCAGCCAGAGTTTCGGATGAGTTACTCACCCGAAACTCTGGCTTCTCGGATGAGAGGTGAAACGTCTTCAAGTAACTTAAAGAAGTCCAGACGCTTTTCTTTGCAAGCTCCTTTGACTACGATGACCTGGATGACTGAGAACCTTCACAGACATTCTGTTTTAGCACTTAAATAATTTAAAGCCACTTCATTAGATACACCTGTTCAACAACTTGTTAACACAAATATCTTATTAGCCAACCACAGGGCAGTAACTAATTAGGGATGTACGCAAGTTCAAACTGAGCACTGAATGGGGAAGAAAGATGATTTAAGTGACTCTGGACGTGGCGTGGTTGTTGTGCTAGATAGGCTGGTGTGAGTATTTCGGAACCTGCTGATATAATTTGAATTTCCCATATAAATATCTTCAGGGTTTACATCGATCGTGGCTCAAGAGTTGGGAGTTCGCCTTGTAATCGGAAGGTTGCCGGTTCGAGCCTCGGCTTGGACAGTCTCAGTCGTTGTGTCCTTGGGCAAGACACTTCACCCGTTGCCTACTGGTGGTGGTCAGAGGGCCCGGTGGCGCCAGTGTCCGGCAGCCTCGCCTCTGTCAGTGCGCCCCAGGGTGGCTGTGGCTACAATGTAGCTTGCCATCACCAGTGTGTGAATGTGTGTGTGAATGGGTGGATGACTGGATATGTAAAGTGCTTTGGGGTCCTTAGGGACTAGTAAAGCGCTATATAAATACAGGTCATTTACAGGCCATTTACACAAAATAGCCTGAGAAGGAGAAACCATCCACTGAGCAGTAGTTCAAAATGTTTTGCTGCCAAAGACCAAAGAGCAGAATGGCAAGACTGCTTCGAGCTGACAATAAGGGCACAGGAACTCAAATAACCACTCGTTACAACCAAGGTATGCAAAAAAGCATCTTTGAACTCACAATATGTCAGACCTGGAAGAAAATGGGCTACAACAACAGAAGAACACACCAGTTGCTACTCATGAGAGTTAAGAACAGGAATTTGAGACCACAGTTCACACAGGCTCAGACAGAAGACTGTAAACATCTTGCCTGGCCTGATGAATCTCCATTTCTACTGTGACATTCAGATGGCAGGGTTCAAATTTGGCATGAACAACATGAAATCGTGGCTCCATCCTGCCTTGTAATGACAGTTCAGGCTGGTGGTGTGGGGCACATTTTCTTGGCACACTGTGGGACAGTTAGCACCATTTGAGCATAGTTTAAAGCCCACAGCATACCTGAATACTGTTGCTGATAATGTCCATCCCTTTATGACACAGTGTACTGTCCCTTCTGAGGAAGCAGCAGGATAACGCACCACGTCACAAATTTCAAATCATCTCATCGTTTTTGATCATAGCAGTGAGTTCGCTGCACTCAAATGGACTCCACAGTCCAAATCTCAGAGCACATTTGCGATGTGATGGAATGAGAGATTTTCATCATGGACAAATCTGCTGAAACTGTGTGACATTACTGTGTCAATGAGAACCAAAATCTGAGGAATGTTTCCAGCACCTTGTTAAATCGATGCCATGAAGTATTAAAGCAGTTCTGATAGCAAAAAGGGGTCTAAGGTGTAACTAATAAAATGGCCAGTGAATGTATGTTTGTGTGGCGTAGACCAGACATGCATGAACAGTTTTACGCAGCAGTCGGTCACATGTGCAGAGGTGAACAAACCTTTCTCCAGAGCACTTTTGTCACTTGTCTGTATTATTGCAGCAGCACTATGAATATCTTTGAAAGTGTCAACAACATTTTATGAAATATCATCCAAATATTTAAAATAAATGCACGAAAGTAATTTTCAAGACCCACCAAGAAAAAAAACAAACATTATTATTATTAAACTGATTCATGTGGCCACAGAGTGAAGACTAAACTAGCAGACGGGCTAGTAACTGACCTTTACCTCTGTTAAAACCCCTAGTTTTCCTCAAATATCAGTAGTGAGTTCAAAAATCCATATGAGCCAGGCTCTAATGTTTGAAGATGCTGTGAAAATATTGTTGTCCGGGTGGTGTTTTTTTATCTGTTGCTGACGAAGGACACGTAGCACAGATATGGACGAGGATACCAATATATTCTAAACATCAGCGTAAGCTTAACATGGTGGGACATAGCACAGAGTTGCTGAGCTTCACAGTTCTCAGTTATCTCCCAAAGTCAAATCTGAATGAAAAACTGTATTCAGTGTGGTCGTGCAAATGTAATACCCAATACTTTGCTGGGGTTGGCATCTAGCCGCAGAATAGCCATTGCTAGGGGTATAGTGAGGCGGATGTAGTTTTTGGAGTCCTGCAGGGCCGGGTACTCTGACAAGATGAGGTAGATCCTCATGGCCTCGACATCAGGAGGGGAGCGTGGCAGCTGAGGGATCAGCAGGCTCTCAAAACTCTTGGTGGCCTAAACAAGAGAGAGAGGATGCAGACATTACACCCTCTGTTTAGTTACACTGCTCAGAGAAAGAAGATTCATGTTAGAGACAAAATGCAGTCAGAGAATTATTAGGGTTTTACTGTTTTTTAAAAAAAAAGAAGAAAAAACAAGCTGAATGTGATGGGATATTTTTATATTTCCAAACAAGCTGGATGAACGAGGCAGCAGCGATAAAACGTCAGTTGCTAAATTTTGCAAGAGGTTATTTAGTGGTTGGGGAAAGAGGCCTCAGCCTGCATCAATCAGACTGAGGCCACTTCAGTCCCAAACATAACATTAGTGCGCCAATGTTAGGAGTCGTCAACCAGTTCTCCATTTTGTGCCATGGATCTGTGGCAGAACTTGATTTACTTTCAAAACATGGATTTTCTTTTTTTTTTCTTTTTTTATTCCACCAAATGAATGGTTACAAAGCAAACCCTGCATGTATTAAACCTGCATCATTAAGGAGCCAAAACACAAAGCGTTTCAGACAAAAATCACTTTCTATCACATTCATTGATACCAATTTCTATGAAAATCACTATGGATTTAGACGTTGGTGACCTACATACAAACAATGAGGTTTTAATTTGGAGTGAGCAGCTGATTTTCAGCAGCAACATCTACAGCCAGAGGCACAGGGGTTCATTAGGATTCACGCAGAACTCCTTCAATTCCTGAGATTAACTGTTTGACACTAAATCTTTCACAGCTCTCACCAGCTTTGTCTGGTGACAGTTACATTACATTCATTGCTTATGAATCCACTTTATGTGTAATAGCTTAAAAGGTAATTGATTAGGTGATTAGAGTAAACCAAAACATGTATGCTATTTTCTTTAGTATACAAGGGATAGCTCAGTAGGTAGAGTGGTAGCCCCATGATCGGAAGGTCGGGGGTTCAACTCCACTGAACGGTACCCCTGAGCAAGGTACCGTCCCTACACACTGCTCCCCGGGCGCTGCATTGGTGGCTGCCCACTGCTTCACTGGGTGAATGGGTTAAATGCAGAGGAACTATTTCCCTATGGGGACTAACACATACACATTATTATTCATGCTTCTGGTCAGATAAAGAAAGTCAGACAACAACAGGAGCCATTATCAAACACATGCACCATGTGTCCTTAGAGACATACAGTAAACTGGGTTTGGAGGTTAGAAGCAGTACCTGCTCCATGAGTTCAGAGAAAGCTGGTTTGCTCAGAGTCTCAAACAGCATTCTGACAGAGTTGAGATCGATGCCTGGGATCTTTGGGTTGGTTTTGAAATGGGTATCATCACTGAGAGAAAGCAGATAAAGAAAGATATAAGTGAGATCTCAGCAAAGGATAAAAAACAGAGCTCATATTCAGGGAATTCGTGATAAAGCTTTGATGGAAAGTTGCTTTGGATTAAACACAGGTCTACTCCAAGCTGTCATCCAGCAAGTCAGCTGTGAGTCACCTTTAGGTAGGTGTGATAATACTCACTGCAATATAAGCAATGGTTAAGTATACATGCAGCCTAAATGTATTTACGTCTATCCCTAAGCAGATCTCTTCTTCTGCCTGGGAGATGACGAGAGTGAGAACCAGTTGATAAACACACTCGCTGCTTCGCCTTAAACAACCCTCAACATATCACTGACACTGAGCATTAAAGATTTAGCTATCTGTAAATGCCATCTTCCTTCCCTATAGGCACAACAAGACAACAAGACAAATACTGACTGACACAGTGGACTGATCCCTAATGGCAACTATTTACAGCACTGTAGCTCAGGTGGCAGAGCAGGTCAGCCACTAATCAGAAGGTCGGTGGTTCGATCCCAGGCTGCCTCCTGGCTGCATGCCAAATATCCTTGGGCAAGATACTAACCCCGTGTTTGCCTACTGGTGGTGGTCAGAGGGCCTGGTGGCGCCAGTGTCCAGCAGCCTCGCCTCTGTCAGTGCGCCCCAGGGCAGCTGTGGCTACAATGTAGCTTGCCATTGCAATTGTGTGAATGGGTGAATGACTGTAGTGTAAAGCGCTTTGGGGTCCTTAGGGACTGAGTAAAGCGCTATACAAATGCAGGCCATTTACCATTTACCACTCAGTCAGATTAGACGTGATCCTGTGGAGACTGTTTGTCAAAGAGCCAACAGTGCTGCAGATGGTGCAGCGGTTTGTGCTACAAAACTACTGAGTCACAGCAATGACCCATTAAATTCAGAGAACTCTCTGAGCTTAAAGCACCATCTGAGCAGTTTTGGGTCCCAACTGTGATGCTAATACTTCCTGTGCATGGATGTGCTCTGAACAACTGCAGCAAATCCCACAGCTGTACCTAATAAAAGGAGATACAAATACAGTTTTTATGGCTACATTTTTGGGAAGGTTTTCATGTTATTAACTAAGGCAGAAACTAACATTTATTTCCATTTAGTCAGACAATTAGTACAAGTCTGTCCTCCTGTATTTCATATGCACTACTTACTTACTTTATGATGGATGTTACTATTTGTTTTACCTCCTGTGGCATTTCAGTTTTTGAAAGATTCATTTTTCACGCATGTGTCTGAGGCCTTTTTTTCCAACCCGGTGACCTCTACAACTCATTCCCAGGACGCGATAAGTATCTGCTGATTAGTTTGTCCTACATACATCATGATGTCAACACACAGGTTGATGGACTCGCACAGATCTCGCTAACCAAACAGATAGCATCTTTCCCAGGCCTGACAATCAGCTGGATAAGATGATATGCATTGATTTGAGGGTATTTGACAGAGAAAGTACATCTTTGTGAGTTGATCACACGGCATGCGTTTCCTTCATTTATGGCACACACCTGAAGGGCTTAAGGAGTTACTCTGTGATGAATCTGTACTAATAAAACGCTAACAGATCCTTCTTGTTTCCTTTTTTTTTTTAAACCTTTGTTGGGGACTGTGGTGCCCTTTTTTGTCCTAAAATACTGGGAGAGTTTCTGTGGCAGCATTCAGTGGAAAAACTGCAATTTTGATGTCGAGCGCGACTGCAGTTTGTGCCATCTGTCACCTGCCTGAACCAAGGCCAAATATCCTGAGCATGTGCTATTTTTGGCTCAGCACAGTAGCAATACAGACGTAGCACACGTGCAGCACATAATTGTACTAACTATTTTAAATATGTCGTGCCTGTCTAACATAAATCATTGTCACATTTTCAACCTGCAGAAATCAAACACTTCTTCTAATAATAACACAGACAGTGACGGAGAACGAAGAATAAAATATCTGGTCATAACTTGTCATCCAGATGGTATGCATGCATCCAAGTTTTGTTTGGCAAATACTGACTAAATCCTGCACTATTAAGGTGGGAACTTAAACATTTTTATCACCTCTTAATTAATTATTTCAGCTCTTCTTTACACTTCGCATTTTGGTGCTATATCTTATTAACTGTTAAATGTTTCCTCCTCAAGGTCAACACTGTCTTCTTTTTCTTAAAGGTGAAAATAAAATTACAAGTCTAACTTAAGTAAAAGTAGCAAAATCTAATTTATATGAAGTACCTTTTCTAAAGAAAAAATATCTTGTCTATGTAGATTCACTAATACTCTTAGCACTGTAAGCTTTTAGAAAAGCTCTTAGAAAAATGTAAGCTCAGTGGTGTTTTGTCTTCCACTGAAGGTTTTTGCATTAATACATGCAACCGTGCTCCAATATAAAACAAGTCCTGACTGCACTATTTGTGTATTTCTCATATTGATGCAGGTGAGGTCTATGCACCTTTGGTCCAAGAAGCTGGCATTCCAGCACGCCGTCGACGACAGCTGAACTATGACGTCACTGTAAACGAAACACACATTACAATGAAAATGTAACGGGGGAGACTTTCCAGTGATTAAAGTGAATTAAGCTCTGTGTGTATTTGTGTAAACCAATTATATATGAGTCTACATTCTATCTTATAATCTAAAATATCTGACACAATACCCTTTTATCGTTGGCTTACTTTGTGATGCTAGAGTCTGTGTTGTACATCAGTTTCAGCCTCAACGAATTCAAACTTTCATAATTGATTGGTGAGAGACTTTTGCCAATATTAATCACTCTGAAGTCTTCCGAGGGGACAGAGGTCTGTAGAGGGGAAGACAGAGAACACATAACACCACTGTTACAAACACGGAAGACTTTGCTTTGGTCCTTTGCAGTCTGTGTGGCAAAGTTTGATCTGGGTTGCGTCGACAAAATAAAGAGGCCACGCCTGAGATGGAAATGTTTTGGCTAAGCGCTTTACATCTTTATCAGCCTACGTTCCTGACAGTTTGCTTGAAAGTTACATTTTTTTAACCAGATAAAGGATCCAAATACAGAGTTCCATCAACTGAACTGGTTAAAGCTGAGACATTAACGCCACCCTGTGGTGAAACACTAAACCTAAGTAACACAGACATGATTGCTTGGAGTTTTTGGATGTGATTGCTTAGAATTATACAGCGTGCTGCAGGAAACTAAGAAGCATATGTGTGTCACATACGGTTAATCATTTTTTAATTCCTGATGGTTTTTAGAGTACATCTTTGATTTTCAGTTTCACATTTCTCTATATTTTTAACATGAAAATAAATAACAAAGCATTTATGTAATTCATGAAAATTCAAACAAACAATAACAATGGTAAAACTGGAAGTAAGTATATATTTTTAATTTTAAAAAATGTGATATTTTAGTATTAATCTTTATGAAATCACATACCTGCTCATTAGAGTACAATAAGAAGCTATGGTCTCCTCCACAGATGATTTTGGTCACGGTATACTGTTTTGATTCTAATTAAGAAACATAAAAAAGAGATAGACACTGAACATAATAACAGGGAATAAAATATATATATTTCACACTTTAAATCACTTTAAACTGCATGTGTCTGTAAAGATTCCTCACCTTGAGAAAAAAGATGATACACAGTAATGAAGGATAAAGAATAATACACTGTGGAAGCATAAAGCAATCATAAAGCATTTGGCTCAAAAGCTCTTCTTTGTGCTATTTCAATTTGATATACATGGCAGAATAAATTGTGTTCTTGCAGTCTCCTTACAATATATATATATTTTAAATCTCTGCTGTGACTCACACCCCCTAGCCTACATTACAAGCAGATTGCAGGATGATTTCTGGTAAATCCAACAGAAGACACTGCTGTGCAAATACAAGCTGTTTTGGCTGAATACCAACTATCCTCTTGGTTGTTTTGGCAACAGCAACTGGAGCCAAATCAGAAATACCTCCGCAAGACAGTGAAGCAGCAGAGTCTAGCTGGACACTAACAAAGCCCACTGTATCGTTATCAGTCTGTTCTTTCTGTTTTAAGACTTCGTAAATTGTAAATTCTCTCAAAGTTCTCCATTGTCTTCAAGGAAAAAATCGGAAACAAGGTTCCCAGGACCATAATGGTTAGGCCAAATAAAACTGTAACATTCACAGCTGCCTGCCTGGATTTCCACTGCAGTTACCAGTAAAGGCACAAACAGGAAACATGTCTAACAAACGTGAGAAGTGGGAATGAGGCACTTTTAAAAAGGCATTCGGTCACAAGCATATAGGGACTGATCGGCAAGTCCTCTGCTTACCTCTTCTATGGAATTTTCCAGTCAGGAAACTGGCCTTGACAGGAAATGGGCTTCTGGCATCCCCCAGTATTCCTGTTCCCAGCTGGCCATGGCTGTTACAACCAAACGCATATACCACGCCAGAGGAAGGCACGAACGCCAACGTGTGGTGCCTGGCAAAAGGAAAAACCACGAAATGAAGAAACTCAAAAAAGTAAATTTACCACTTTGATAGTTACACATTTACAGCATTAGATATGCAGTTAACATTATCAAAGGTACCTTACAGCTCTCTGATTTAACATGTTCAGTTTAGATCAGTTGTTTTTGCAGCAGATATTTTTTAATTATTACTAATGTTTATATATTTTTTTAATTTGGATTCTCAAAGAGAAGTTTTGTTCTAACGGTCAAGAGGATAAAAGAAATAACTGAGCAAAAAAAAAGATGCAACAAATGTCTGTGGCTGGAAGCAAAACAATCAAAGCTATTAACATTTAAGGGACAAGGTAACTTTCTATAAGTCTTTTCAGTATTCCTTTCCCATCAGGTGTGGAGAAAATACTAAAACAAAATAAACAAAAAAACACACACCGTACAAGAGAGTTAAAACTGCGGCTTTTTGAGAGTCAAAAAAAAGTTTAAGCTTCATAAACATAGACTTTACTCCAGTGTTGTTTTACTTGGTTCCATGAGATCGTATGGGTATAACCAACAAAAGCCCTCTGTAGGTTTATCAGAGACAGTACCTGCCACAGGTGATTTGGGACACCTCGGTGCCCATGAGCTCCAGCACTCGTCTAGGTAAAAGCTCACTATTGGTGGAGCCGTGACCCAGCTGACCCCACGAGCCATCACCAAACGTAAACAAGCCGCCATCCTGCCAGGAAGAGTAAACACACTGACCTTTTCCGTGCTTTTTTCCATTTAAGAGGGAAACTTTATGCATAGTCTTGCACTAAAACACTTATGGCACACGTTAGGTGGTAGATTAAGATAAGATGGGGTTAGACCGTGTGGTTGGAATAAGACTCAGTTTTTAACTCTGTATTAACAGAGTGTTGTGTAAAATAATATAAATCTCTTGCACCAATTTTTATGGCAGCTAAACAAGAACGACCTAACAAAACAAGACTTTATAATATCTGGTTGCATAATATCTGTTACTAGAAATGGCCAAAATTAAACATCCATATGTAAAGCATGTACAACACAGTTAAACATAAATCATACCTTTGTCAAGGCTGCTGTATGTTCATCTCCACAGCTGATGTAAACAACTTTCTGAGATCTCAAAAATTTGATGTGGCATGGGACGGCACGATCTGTGGAAGGCGACAACACACGAGCAAGTCCACACTGTTAAACACTTCAACCAGATGAGTCCACTCAAATTAAGAAGATGCTGGAAAACACTTAAACTTTTGCATTCTGATTTAGCACCATAATGGCAACTAAACTAAACGTGGATATGTTAATTAATTAAATTATTTAATTATTTAATATTGAGGATCATTTCCATGAAATGTTAATAAATAGATCTCTTCTCCAAAATGGTGACCTCTAACTACTCATAAAACAAAAAATGAGCGTGAGAGCGATCAAGCTCGTTGCCATTGTTCCACAAACAATGGCAACAATACCGTTTTGCGGTAGATTTGCTGCTGTTGTCCTGTGGCCTGACCCAGTATTGGCCAAACTTTAAATGTCAGGTAGACATCTAAAGTTTGACTCTACAACACTTTGGTATCCGGAGGAGTTCATGGTCAACTCCATGACTCCAAGTGCCCAAATCATCACCCCTCCACCACCGTGCTGACAGATGGTATGAGGCGTTTATGCTGACATGCTGTGTTTAATTTTTCCAAATGGTGCTGTGCATTATGGCCAAACATCTGCACGTTGGCATAATGATAAATGGTAAATGAACTAGTTCTTATATAGTGCTTTTCTCCTCTAGCTGACCACTAAAGCACTTTATACAACATGCCTCATTCACACATTCACATCCATTCTATGCTTAAGTGCTTTCTATGTGACATTCAGAGACACAATAGAAATAGAAGCTTCCTATTAGTAGATGACCTGCTCTACCTCCTAAACTACAGCCACCCCAACGGCCTCATCTGTCCAAAGGACTTTATTCAAGAAGTCTTGCAATTTTCTCAGATGCAACTTTTCAAACCTAAGCTGTGCTGTCATGTTATTTTTAGAGAGAACAGGCTTCCTCCTGGTAACCCTTCCAAATAAGTAGAGGTGGGAATCACCATACATCCCACGATACGATATTATCACAATACTTAACGCACGATACGATATTATTGCAATTTTTTTAAAATATTTTGCGATATTCAGATTCTGTACATAAAGGTAAACTTTATCAATATTTATTTTATCTAATATCAAAGTCTCACACTCAGTCTCTCATTTCAGTCAGTTTTATTGTTGACAAACTGAACGGTTTGTATTACAGTCTAGTCCAACTTAACTGATTGCAACCATCTGGTACAATTATAGCTATTCTGAACTTTGAAATTTATGAAAACTATGCAGCCCCTTCAGCAACTGAAGAATTTGAAAGTAAATTAAAACAAAATATAATTTTACATTAAATAAAAAAGTTTTAAACTTAATTAAAATAAAACATGTCTTAAATTAAAATAAGTAAACTGTCATGTTTATTGCTGCCAAAAAAAAAAGTTACACACATTTGGACAGTGAAGGAATGTCAGGATTCTTGCTCAGAAAAAGGATCAACATGCTCTGAAGTCAGAGCATGTTCCAGTCCACAAAAACTTTTTTTGTAACAAAATATCGATTTCTGCTGTCCCTGTATCGATACATTATTCGCAAACAAAATATCACGATACTACACAGTATCGATTTTTCCCCCCCACCCCTACAAATAAGCCACACTTGTTCAGATTTTTTCTATTTGTACCATCATGAACTTTACAATTACCTGCTAATAGAGGCCTCTAGAGTCTGAGATGTAGCTGCTGGGTTTTTTGCAGTTTCTCTATGTATTGCTCAGTTTGAATTTGCTGAGACGTCCTTTCCAGGGAAGATTGTGGCATTGTGTTAAGACGTGAATGCTTCAGATTAGAAAGTGCCAAAACGTCTGCTTTGATAGCGGTACTCACACTTGACAGTCATTATTAATTATTAATAGTACCTAGCTGTTACTTAACCTCTAAAATATTATCAAAAGAGTACAGGTGAACTTAGTTTTTCACAACACCATGTGGAGTACTGTGAAAACCTTTTTTTTTTTCAAGCGCAAATAAATTGATAAAAATGTGAGACACAATATTACGTAAAGATTTATATAATTTGCATGAAGCTCTACACTCTGCATTATATCATATAACAGTCGCTGTTCTTTCTAACCAGGTGATTATTACCTTGTTTATCATTAAGGCCCAGTTGTCCAGCTCTGTTTTTGCCCCAGCCAAATACAGCTCCAGACAATGAGAGGGCAAAACTGTGGTCTCCTCCTGCCGTTATTTGTGCCAAAGGAATTCCTGCCAGAGACTTTAGAGGATGAGGGAACAGCTTGCTGGGCTCTCCTTTCCCCAACCCGAGCTGCCCGCTGGTGTTCTGGCCCCATGTGAACAGCTGGCCATCTGAGAGGAAAAACGCACATCATGAACTTTACCTCACATCAACACCAATAATGAACACAAAATACAGGGCAGATGTCTGTTTTATAGAGTGGCTATATTTAGAGCTGTTACAGGGTGTGGCTCAGACCTACATATTGCCAAAACATCAACAACACCAAATGTTTTCATTTATAGCCAAACTTAAATCAAGTCAAAGCTTACACCAAACATAAATAAATACACAACTTTTCAGGCTGACAGATAAATCACAGACCCCATTATCCTGTTAGTATTAATACATGAAGCTATGTGTGTTTAGCCCCAAGAAGCTGTGGTTCAACATCTGATCACATTTCTTTGGACAAAAAACAGTCAATTTAAAATCTCCCATAATGCAAAACCATTGCATTTTCTCAAACTATGCTCTCCTCCCTTTGCAATCACATATTTTAATGAAAATATTATGTCTTGAGTCCTAGTCATGCTAACCTTGATGCTGATGGTTGACACTTTGTTGTTACATTGATAAACACACACACTTGTTCTCCATCATTACTGCCTGGTGATTGCTCGTAAAACAGCCTTGACCATGTGCAAGTTTCACTCAGATCTGACCAATACTGTTAAGGCTTAACGCTTCTAGTGAACTGTGGACGAGCGGATAGATGAGCTAAAATTTAAGAATTTATGAGGGTTTTCTGATGCCATACATTTCAGCTCGATTGGACACAGTTGGGATCCAACATTCAGATCGTGAACAGTGATGAGGTGTTATAAAGAAATTGTCTTTCACACCTCTAGAAAGTGCGATGCAGTGCTGATTCCCACACATTACTTGAGAGATGCGATGGTCACACAGTCTTTTGACCAACCTAGGATAAATTTAAAAAGAAACAAAAACATTTGTTTATCAAGCTAAAAAATACACATTTAAAACATTTCTTGTTTAAGTAGATGATGCATGAAAAGGCTGGGAATTCCAAATAATGTCAAACCTGATGTCTATTGTCTTAGCTGATTATAGGCCAATCACAACCTTCCTAACCTGCCTTTTTCAAAAAGTCTTGAAAGAGTAGTTGTAAAACAGCTAACTAATCATCTGCAAAGAAATTGTTTATTTTAAAAGTTTCAGTCAGGTTTTAGAATGCATCAGATTGCAGAGACAGCTTTAGTGTAGGTTACAGATGGTTTTCTTATGGCCACTGATGGTAGATTCCTGTCTGTGCTTCTTCTAAACCTCGGTGCAATGAGGTTCGATGACCATAATTTAATTACAGCGATTAGAGCATGCTGTAGCTATTCAAGGTGGTTCGAATCACATCTATCTAATAGACTTTTTACTTGCTATTTAACTTTTATTTATACAGGTAGCCCCATTGAGACTCAACATCTCATTTACAAGAGAGATCTAATTCAGACAAACTTCGTAAAATTATAACACTTCAATTTGTTCATGTTAATTGGGAGTCCTCTTTACACACAAAGGTGAATTATGGAGTTCTACAAGGTTCCACACTAAAACCAGTTCTGTTTATATTATACATGCTTCCCTTAGGCGAGGGGTGTTGAAATCCAGTCCTCGAGAGCTACTGTCGCGCTCCTTCTTCCGACACACCTGAACCAAATGAATGACTTGTTACCAGGCCTTTGCCAAACTTGATGGCATGCTGAAGGGGTAATCCAATCATTTGATTCAGCTGTGTTGGAGTAGGGATGGATCTAAAAGCCGCAGCTCTTGAGGACTGGAGTTGGACACCCCTGCCTTAGGCAAAACATATATTTTCACTCCTATGCAGATGATGCCCAACTTTATCTATCCATGAAGCCAGAAAACACACACAACTTAGTGAAACTGCAGGAATCTCTGAAAGACAAAGACCTGGATGACCTATAATTCCTAAATTCCGCTACAAACTAAGGTTAGCATACGTGGCCCTAAAAAAAAAAAATCTTAGAAATATGTTACTATATGCTTACTCTAAATGGGATTACCTTGGCCTCCAGTAACACTGTGAGGAACCTTGGAGTCATTTTGACCAGGATGTTTTTCAATGCACACACTAAGCAAATATATAAGAACTGCTTTCTTCCTTTCGTGCAATCTCTTTCTCAGATTGATACTGAAAAACTAGTATTTATTACTTCTACGATGCAGTATGGTAATTATTGATCTCCTAAAAACTCACTGAAAAGCTTCCAGCTTTTCAGTGAGTTTTTGTCACGAGTACTGACAGGGACTAGAAAGAGCATATTTCACCCATACTGGCTTCTCTTCACTGGCTCCCTTTTAAATCCATAATAATCGGGTCCCATTTTATGTTAAAGACCTCATAGTACCGCATCACCACAATAGAGCACTTTGCTCTCAGACTGCAGGCTTACTTTTAATTCCTAGAGTAGTTAAAAGTAGAATGGGAGGAAGAGCCTTCAGCTTTCAGGCCCCTCTTTTGTGGAACCAGCTTCTAGTTTGGATTTTGGAGACAGACACCCACTTTCCTTTTCAGATTAGGCTTAAAACTTTGCTTTTTAATCAAACTTATAGTTAGGGCTTGATCCAGTGATCCTGAATCCTCCCTTAGTCATGCTGCAATAGGCCTAGTCGGCTGGAGGCTTCCGTGATGTACTGAGTGTTTTTTTTCTCTTACCATGTGTTTTTACACTAATCTTCATTAAATCATTAGTTATTAATAATTTCTTGCGCTCTTCCACAATGTGTCTTTCTCATGTCATCCTTCCCTTACCCCCAACTGGTCGAGCCAGATGGCCGCCCCTCCCTGAACCTGCCTCTGCCTGAGGTTTCTTCCTGTTAAAAGGGAGTTTTTCCTTCCCACTGTCACAAAAGCGCTTGCTCATAGGGGGTGATCTGATTATTGGGATTTTCACTGTATTACTGTAGGGTCTTTCTCTTACAATACAAAGTGTCTTGAGGCATCTATTGTTGTGACTGGGTGCTATATAAATAAAACTAAGTTGAACTGAATTATGAAAGGCTGCTGCATACAAAATACTGACTATTAAACTATCTCGCTGAGTATATGTTTACATGGGGCTTCTTCTCCTCCACTATAACACTGAGGTTAGTCTGAGTAACCAATGGATTAACAATGAAGATGTCACTGTAGTTTTTCTTTCTTTTTAATAATGATTTTGTGAGCATATAGATATAAATATATTTCTGATATATCTATTTAGTCTTAGTCTCTTTTGTCTGCTTTCTTCCCCTCATAAACTTTCAGTAAATTGTCTATTAAAAATAAAATTGTTTGTCAGGGCACTAATTGCTTATTCTAGAAAACGTTTTGCAAACCACTTATTACAGTAAAATCCCATTTTCCCAGTATTTGCATGTGAAAGACTTACAGGAAGTCTGTGACTAACAGTTTTCAAATAGGCTCTGATAAACCTGTCTACGTCTGCACGCTCTATGGACACACTTAGCTGTGGCAGTGGCCAGATGTACGCTGTACAAGTAGGTGCTAGGCTGCTGGTAAGTACTGTAAGTTTTCCTACTGGCATGTGTAATTCTGTGTGGCCAGGCTAAACCCTTCTTCCTATAAACTACACGGGCACCTGGGAATTCGAACAGTCGTCTCTGTGGTCCCCAGTCCCAGCTGTCCCCCATCACCAGCTCCCCAGGCAAACAGTTGACCCTGTTCATTCACTGCCATCGAATGCCCCCGACCGCATGACACCATCGCAATCTTTTGGGTATCCAGAGCCCCAACAACCTCTGTGAAGAGATGACAGGTCTACAGTAGAGGTCTTTTCATTACTTTTACTCTTTACCCATTTGTTTTTCAGTTATAAGTCTAAATATTTTAAACTACATGCTATTTATTATACAAGTATTTATTGTACACAATAATACAACAGATCCAAGAAACATAATATACACATTTCTTCTGAAAATAGTATATTATTAACTGCACTGAGAAATGCTGTGTTGAAGCACGTGCAAAAAGGATGTGTGGGTGGGACTTTGCAGTTGGTGTTGGTGGTATTCTGCTAAGGACCAACTAAGGGTTAGCTGCTTTAGACAAATTGAAAACTCAAAATAGTTGATAATGTGGTTTTAAGTGAGGTAAGACTATAGCATTTAATCAACAATCAACATTTTTAAGCTTGTTAAAAAGATTCAATAACATAAACATAAAATGATAAAGGCCTTATAACAAAAATATAATTATGCCAAGTTGGCCCAGCATGTTATACAACCTGTGAGATAACATCCCAGAATCTATGCAGTGTATCTAACTAAAGATGTGGATGGACATACTTCAAATAAATCTGTGTATGATTTTTAAGGTCCAGCAATTCTTGTATTTGTTCAGGGCTGTTACAAGTTCACCCACATGCCATAACAAAGAACATGTAGAACACATTTCCACCCACATAATACCAACACAGACCCATCATGTCTGCAGTCACTACCATTTTAGGAAAAATGCCCAAAATGTGGGTACACGAATCCTTTCTGTTTCATGTCAAACTCACCTAATGATGCCCAATTCCAGCATACAGTCATGCTGCTGTTACATGAGTGTCTGTGCTTTTTTTAAATCCTCAGTCATCCTGCTTCCACATCAGATAAAAACACAACAGCCACTGAACCTGCTAAGACTTGCAAAAGACATTTCACTGCATGCTCAGTCTTTGTAACTAAGCATCAGGGTATTTTTCTTCTCCCATATAAAATATTATTGGTGTCCACTAAAGAGCTTTTGGCTTATACTAAAGGAAAATAACCAGGTCTGTGATTTCTTTAAGTTTTTTGAAAGTGGAGTTTAATTTATTCCAGTTTAAAATTAATTATTATTTATCAAATGGCTGAGGAAAAAAAACTTTATATAAAACTTTCTATTATTTGAGGCAAAACATAAAACAGACTCTTTAACTCAAACAACTATGTGCAGACCAATCTTGCTCGTGTGCCTAATCACTCATCATAGATAAGTTTTAACCTTGGTTATGTGCAACTAAGTCAGCCAAACATCACTAACGGCCCAGAATTTCACCATCAGCCCATGCCCATTTGTATAACTACTTTAATTGATTAACACTTTTATTTAAACGTAAAAGATGCAAAATAACGAGCTAGGTTTTTAATACATAACTCCACTATAGTTGAAGAACAGAATACAATTTGACTTTTTTATTAGACCATCAATTCACCTCCTGCTTGTGCAGCCAAACACAGACAAAGACAAATCATGCCAAATCAGTCCAAATTCAGGCACATGCTCAAACATACTTGCTATGTTGTTCACCAGGGTGGTCCAATCTGGTGTTTCCAATTTAGAGCTTACCTGGGGAAGTCCCTGCTTTGTCATGACCCAGCTGTCCCCAGCTGTTAGAGCCACATGTGTACACACTGCCATCATACATAAGAAACACAGAGTGTTGGCTTCCACAGGCGACCTCTTTCATTCCCCTGCCACTGAACACATGACAGTTCCTCGGCTCAAACACAGGGTTCTTCTCCACACCAATACCCAACTGCCCATCCTTGGCATTCCCCCAGCACAGCATGTTGGTGAAGGGAGAGGAAATGAGCACCGATGTGAAGAGGCAAAGAGAGTGACAGCCAGATGGAGGAAGACTATAATGATCAAGCTCGAGAGCAGGCCCGCTTTCGCCTCTTCATGTAAATTCCAACCCTAGAAGCAAAAGAAACAGCGTGATTATGCATATTTCTTCATAAGGAGCTGATTACTTTGCTCCATATGTGAACTCTTGACAGTTTTTCAATTAGGGAACAAGGACGGGCTCGGAGGTTGCTGTGGGTGTGTGTGACAGTGATGTAAGCATGATGACAGAGGAACAGGCAGTGTATTTAAATAAACCCTGTCAGTGTAATCCTGGCTTAAGCAGCTCCAAGCAGTCTCGCCTTAATGTCCAGCCTCTTCTAGCACAATAATATTACCAACTGAGTAAGCCAGAAAATACACAAAAGAGAAACGGGCCAATAGAGAGTATGCTTTACCTCACAATGTCCCAAAAACGTGACTTTTAAATATTATACATTTTCACTGTTTAAGGTGTAAATCGTAACTGGGATAAACGCCATATAAATATTTTTTATTAATACTATGAGTTATATCATTACAAGTATAACCTATATTACAACCCTGCAAAAACTAAACTGAATCACCTCTGAAAAAGGTGATTCAGAGGTGATTCAAAAAACACCTCTGAAAACAGTTGTGATGAGAGGATGCGGGCAAATGTATTAGAAAGCACTAATTTACCTGGGAGGGTGGAGGAAAATATAGGGAATGGACCAAAAGCCCAGGGTGACCATCCTTATCGCAGTTAGTAAACATTAACTAAATGTTACATTAAATAAATATTAGCTATACATTATAGCTTTGTTTAGCATGCTATAGCACACCAGTCTTGGCTGTGAGTTGCTCCCGTGTATTACCAGTGCGCTATCATTATTATTATTATCTAAACACTGGTAGCTCGATGTGAGATACGCTTAGCTGTATATTTAGCTGTATTTTAAGTGTCAGCGGCTGCTTTATCGTTTGTGAGGACCAGCACGTTAAGTCAGGTTAGCTTCCTGACCCGTGCTGTGTGTACATTACAAACACATCCTGCAGCAGTGGCTAAATGTCCCCACTGACATTACCTGAGTAAGTTTGTTAGCGAGCCTGACAAACCACACAAGCCGTTATAGTTAATAGCTAACTAACGTTCGCAGGCTAAAACAGCGCTGGCTGTCAGTCTTATAGCTAAAAAACAGAGACCCGCTGGCTAGCCGATGAACACAACCTAAGCACAGCGGCGCTGTTTTACAGCTGGGTGGTGCAAAATTAAAACAGTGTGTTTACCTTGACAGATGCATTCTGAATTTGGGCGACTGGTTTCGGTTCATCAGCCCAGAAAACAAACGAGGAAGTGCCACAGCTGCTTACGTCACTAGACGTTATGGGCAGGAGACAATGTGATTGGTCCGCCGAGCATGGGGCTCTACCAATGGCTGTGTCCGAATTGGTGAATGCCTACTAGCGTAACAACAAAGTCCGTGAACATTAAATCTATTGGTGTGGCTATTTTATTTTCCCAATATTTAATACTTTTTTACAAGCTTTGTTTAAAATGGCGGAGGCTCTTAATTTTAATATCTGAATCATGTCAGCATCCCGTCAAACTAAGTCTTTTAGGTGTTATGTTTCACGTTTGTGTTAGGTATTGGAAGGTCCTGTGATGTTTTTTATGTGAGTGAAGTTGCCCCGCCCCCCCACCTTCTTCAAATCCAACAAAAGTGGTCCACAATATGTACGTCTCCCACAGTGTGTGTCTGACAAGGTAATCAGCAACACAGGGGCACCACAAGGGACTGTCTTTTCTACTATTTGTTTATAATGGAGCATTGTAAGGAAAGATAATTTCCCCTAGGGATCAATAAAGTAATATTATTCTAATTCTGATGTACTGTCTGAGTACTTGTGTATACATTTTCTGCAGTTTTATGTATTTATTTCTACTTTTTCATTGCAGGAAAACATTTTGTTTATTTCACTAAATGTATCTGATAACAGCGTTATGCACATATCAGAACCTTGACATATGTCAAATTTTGAGGTTTGACTTTTTTTTTTTTTATCCAACTCATCCTAGTTAACGACTTATCTTCCACTTTTACCCCCAGGTATGGAAAGAGTTTGACACACTGGCTGTATCCCAATTCAGGGTCTGCAGCCTTAAAGGCCGCATTTTAAGGCCAATTACGTCACAGCGACACGACGAAGGCTGTCCCAATTCAAAGGCTGCTCGAAAATGCGGCCCTCAAATGCGTCCTTCATTTCATTGAATTTTAAGGATGTGGCGGTGGACTCCGTGGCCCAACATATCCCAGAATGCATAGCGCGGCAGTGGGTGTGGATAATTTTGCCGGAAAAAAAACGGCGGAAGAGGGGAGGCCGAAGAGTAAACTTTTAAAAGTAAGTACTGAATATTATGTTACTTATTTATGTGCGAATGTTTAATAACGAAGAACATTAAAACATTACTGTTGGCCACATGTCGGCAAAGTTATGTGACATTAGCGATGTTTGTACTAACTTGGTTTTAAAGCCGTAACTTTAAAATATACACCGTTCAATTGTTGACGTTAATCTTACAGAGAATGTGATGATTTTATGGATATTTAAATTAAGCACTGAGACAATTTTAGTAATGCCAATATATTAAAAGAACAATATTTGTCTCTCATATATGTAACACAGTTATATATACAGTGTCAAAGAAACCTGTCTTTGAGTGAAGATTTAAGGTGACAGGAAATATAAATAATATAAACAAATGCAGCTTGAATCTTTACTGAAGCTCAGTATTTGAAACAGAGTTCATTCACTGCTGTAATAACTAATAATGATTGAAATTATAACTTTAATATTGGCCATATTATATTTACATTACCAAAGTGAGATGACTTTAGTCTCATGAACAACATTAGCTAATTGTTATTTACTAGCTAATCTTAAATGACTGTTCAGTACAGAAGTGAAGCCCAATAATCATGATTTCACAGTCAGCCTCAGATACTTACCAAATCAAAGCTCATGTAGAAACAAACAAACAAATGAACAAAAGATTTTCTCCTTCATTTCTGTCAAACAAAGCTGTATGAAAGGTTTCCAGCTGTTAGTGTCATGGTTGCTAGGCATCCTGGGCAGCGAGACGGAGGCTAGACTGTCCCATTTCACAAGCCTCTCACTTCCGGCCTTTGAGTACGCGGCCCTTGTGGGCCATTAAGGCTGCAGACCCTGAATTGGGATACAGCCCCTGTTTCGTTCTCCACCCAGTAACCTAGATTCCAGCAGGCAAAGATTGGACTGACGTAAACACCCAGGCCTAAATTACCTACTGGAGGCTCCGGGTCTAAATTAGTGCCCTGGCCATAAAGAAACCAGAAGCTTAGTGAACAAAATCAATGCTTGGATGACGACATTGTGTCACAAATTGTATTTTCTATTCCTACATTGCCCTTTCGGTGTTTCGCGATAGTTGGCGCTTAGAGGTGCAGCTTTATTATTGGTACCCATAGCTGCCATTAAGACTTTTTTCGGCTAATTTTATGCGCTGTAGACGGGGCGTCAATGTGGGCGGATACTCTTACAAGATTTTGATTGGTGCGGTCACATCATAGGCCTTGCTGTTTGATAACAAGGCAAGACGAGGGGGCAACCGTTTTCATTCAATTTGTTATCACGCCACAAGAAGCAAGCAAAGGATCTTTAAAGTTGACGAATACATCTGAAACTCTCGAGGTATGGCTTTTAGTCAACATGCAACTGAAATCTCGGTAATGTTAGACGAAATGGTAACTTTTACCTGATGCTATCTACCTTGTTAGCTTGCGTGCTACAGAGCTATCGTTTGCAGCTAGCTAGTTAATGCTAATATGAAAAATGGATGACGTTACCGTTTATATACTGCTTCTTTTCGTAAGTGTATTGAAACTGCATTTTATTAAGGACTGCTTCTTATTCAGATTCTCTTAGGATAGCACTTCTAAGTGCCTCACACATTTATGATATTGGGATCGATAGTGGAGCAGTTAGCTTAATGGCTATTGCATCATTCTTTAGCTTTGCCTTTGACGCACATTCTGAGAACCTTCACAGACATGTTGACGCACATGAATACACGGTTTACCCTGAGATGATTTACAACATATGGACGATATAGCACGTCGGAAATTCTCCCTAATCAGTGTTTATTCACTAATTAAACCAAATACAATAAAGGTCATTCATTAATGCTGTCCGAGTAAATGTTGCTTATTAACCCATAAGAAGCCCTGTACACAGTGAGGAAAGTTCCTGTTAAGGCTTTAACACTCTCCTATAGGTTTTACTAACAGTAAAAAGAGTCTGGGCTCATATATGTTAAATTTTAAGTGTACAATAGTGTGAATTGAGGTTGCTATAGTAGATGTCCGAAAAAGGCTGTGCGTGTTGTTGTTACTGAAAGGAAGGTTTGTTTGTTTTTTTTAAATGTCCTTTCAACTCGACAAACCTTGTTGTTCAATAGCCAGACACGGATTTCGTAAATGCCAAGTAACAGGCAAGACTATGGTTTGTTGGTGGCAAAGAGTAAATTGTAAAGTTTGTTAAATTTTATAATGACCTTTATCTCCGCTAGTGTTGAGCTATAACCTTCAATTATTTTATGCCTCTTCATTCTTTAGTATGCTAGGAATCTGTATAATCTTAATGAACTTCAAAAAAAGTTTGCATATGCTACATTTAGTTGAGATTGTTAAGAATATATGCTTATGTGTTGTTTATGTTTTGAGCGACCTCTCATTTCTTTACGTTTTCCTGGGAAAATAGGAAATAGTTGGAAATCAAGTATTTGGGGTAAATACAGAGTTTTTATAATTCTAACAAGCTTAAAAGTCAATATTTGGAATGACTACCTTTTATTCTTTAAACAGTCTTCAGGACTAGTTCTCCAGACTTTTTGAAGGACATTCGAAGCTCTTCTTTGGATGCTTGGTGCTCTTTGTTCCATTTTCCTTGACGGTGATCCCACAATGCTTCAATAATGTTAGGGTTCGGGATCCGGAGAGGCAAATCTATGACTAATGACTCTTAAGCTAATTTTTAGGCTACTTATATTTTTTGCTGTGTACTTGTTCAGTTTTCTATTTTAGCACATATTGCAGAGTTTTCAAACAACAGCTTTTTGAAAACTTTGTTGGTGTAAAAATACTTCTGTTCTGTCAAACTTATCTTTGGAGTTTTTTGTGGATTAAACTAAAGAAATGTCTTTATGTGACAGGCCGCTACTAACCAAGTGCCTAAAGATAAAAAGGATAAGATTGGTTATTTCAAGTCAAATCAAGTGGCTTTATTTTCATTTCAACCATGTGCAGTGGTACAGTACACAGTGAAGCAAGACAACGTTCCTCCAAGACCACGGTGCTATATTTAACAGACAATCAACACAGGACTACATAAGGTGAGCAAGAAAAGTGTGCAAAGATTGCACACACAAAAAGACAACCAGTTGCCAAGTTGTCTGTTGTGTGTAGACACAACACTGGCTCATCTCTTGAATCGCATTGTGTAAATACTTAAATGATTCATGGGTCGATGTTGAGTAACTTAAAAAAACAACAAAAATGGTCAAGTATAAGGGCTGAACTGAAAATGAACGAAAAAGCAGCCTGTGTCCAAAAGAAACTTTGAAAGACCTTCAATCAAAATGTAAAGAAAAGTGGAATGATTCAAGGCTTTTGCACAGTATTAGACATAATTTTATGTCATTTTATGTTACGTTCTATTTGTTTAGCAGCTCTTGGAAGATCAGCAATAAAATTAAATAAAACTGGGTAAAGCTTTTAGTAGTTAGTCGGCAAACACAGAATCCCTGTGGTATCCTTAAATGGAACTTCACAGTAGTAAATGCGCAACACTTTGAATTTAGAATTGAGGATGATTCTTATTGTTAGTTGACTAAATTTTTATTTGAACGTGGTGAATGTGTGAACATGGGGTCTTGAACACAAGACCTGTTGGGCTCCAGTTACTGCCTGTCATTATTTTCTGTCAAATAATAAAAGGTTCAGGAAGTTCACAGGGGGTTCAAGGAGATGACGTCATCTAATAGTCTTAATGCAACATCGATTAAGTATATTTAAAAGTAACCACTTGATTATTTTTAAGCAAATGATCAAGATTAGTATCAGATGCTAGTAATAGTTAGGAGGTATTTGTCACTTATTACTAGATGGATTACATTTCAAATGTTTCAAAAATATGAAGGAATTTGTGTAATCTCAGTTTTTTTTCTATCTGATTTGTGTTTGTGTAATGATTTCTAGTTTGAAGAGACCTTTAGTCCTCATAATGGAGCCTCCTCCTAAACAAATAAAAGATTTTTGTCATGCTGTGTTCCCAGTCTAAATGATGGATTTTAATTTTTTTTTCCTTTTCTCTTATTTTCCTGCTTTGTCCAGACAGTACACTGTTCTGCCTCTCCATCCAGTGGCTTCCGAGGTGTTCGTGCTGTCAGGGTGATGTCAACAGCCTGTCTCGCACGCTTGGCAAGATGCAGTGGTCTTCACGTGGGTCGAGCCGGTCTTGTACAGATGAGCGTAGTCCCCCTTCCAGTCCAGCATGACAGCCACTTCCAGTTCATTTTCCGCAAACCGTTCCACACCCCGTCAGAAACTCGGCACAGTAATACACGCTTTGATCCAGACAGCAGCGGCCGCCCCACTACCTGGGATTCATTTGGAATCTGGGACAATCGTATCGATGAGCCCATCCTGCTGCCCCCCAGCATTCGTTACGGCAAGCCCATTCCCAAAGTTAGCCTATCCAAGGTAGGCTGCGCCTCGCTCATTGGTCAACGCAAGGACAATGAAGACCGCTACCGCGTCTCCGAGCTGACCGACAGGGTGCTCTACTTTGCTGTGTTTGATGGGCACGGTGGATCGGAGGCAGCTGACTTCTGTGAAAAATACATGGAAAAATATATCACGTAAGGAGTTCATATGAGTCGCTGTCACAAGTAGCTTATTCATTTCTGAATAATGTGAATGTCAGATGTCACAGCTCTGTAAGTGATTTTTCTTTCTGATTTCCTCAAGGAACCTTCTTGCAGACGAGGAAAATCTGGAATTAGTTTTAACAAAAGCCTTCCTTGAAGTAGACAAAGCTCTAGCAAGGCATTTGCACTTCTCTCCAAATGGTAGGTGCTTTCACATTATATGTTCTTGGATATGCTGTGTACTCTGTTTTTATGTGATGACACTTGTTTCTTCTCTCTTCAAACATAATTTACTTATCCTACTTAGGCGTTGAAGCTTTGGATTTCCCCACTGAGCACTTTTGGTTAGAGGTCTGTCATTTTCCCCCCAAGTTCCTTAAATAATTCATGAATAAATTAGCTACGCGTAGAAGATATGTTAGTGTTTTTCTTGCTTCCAGCACGACATTGCCAGAAACAGAAAGGTAACAAATTAAAGGAAAAATCAGAGTACACATTTGGATAAACGGAACAGCTTTACCTTACATGCGTGACGCCACACAGGGTTTACCCAGTGGGTCGATTAATGAGAAAATTGTAGGAATTCTTGACTGCTGTTATCAGATCTCGACCATTTAAGAACGTCACTACCCCGAGGTACCTCCTAGTGAGAGAATATCATTTGGACAGAATCAGATCTGTCAGAGGTTTAAAGACTTTGCATAATTAGTTAATAGTGAGTTTTCCTTTAATTTGTCACCAATCTGTTTGTCTGCAAAGTGTTATGTTTAAAGCAGGCATTTTTATTAAGGAATGTTTGAGTATAACTCAAAAAAATTAATGCAAAACATTTCCCTCAATAAATCTAATTTACATGTTTGCCCTATTTCTGTAAAATTCATCAGCTTAGCTTGAAATTTCTCAACCAACTTTTTATGTCTTAAGTTTAATGATATATGAACGCTAGTGTACTTGTTACATGGCCTCACTTTGGCCTCACTCTGTGAAATGTCCCAATATGCCTGTATGTGTGTGTGCATGTTATCTACGGCAGCTGCGGAGCCAGCTAAGAGCTGGAAGCCCTTGGCACCAGTGTGGATGACGAGAGGCTAGATATTGAAGGAGAGTCCAGCGGGTCCTAAATCCTGGACTACTGGAAGGTTCCCTATCTTTCTCTCACTTCTCTCTCTCTCTCTCTCTGCCTCTACCTATCTCTATCTCTCTTTTTGATTTTTCTCTTCTCACCAAGTGTATGCAACGCTTCTTGTGAGACAGTGCTTCAGTTTGAAAGTTGTGTGAGATTTATGTTGTCAGCGACAGATCCAGTCCATGTTTAATATTCAGATTAAGCTTTAAAGAACGTTAAGTCTCTATCAGCTCATTTAATTCTGAGGAGAGGAAAGGATAAACTTTTTAATTGCATAAAATTTTACCGTTATTTATCTACCACCAGAACATTGTTTGCCAATGTCAAATATTTGACAGTAAAACTTGTTAATCTTCTTTGTTCCAGTAATTTCTCAACATTTGGCATAAATAAAACATTTTTTTCTTATTTATTTAAAACGCAAGTCGTTTACTTTACTGAGTCAGTTGAACATAATATTTCTTGTGACTGACTTATTATATTTTCTCAACCCTAGAGGCATCCATGGTGAACATAAGAGGAAAGATAAAATGCTGAACTCACTATTATGACATTCTCTGATGTTTCTGTGTTGCTTTACGAGTATCAGGCCCAGTATCGGGCACTGATAAATGTTGTTGTTATTTATTATCTTTTTGGATTCAGCTTTAGACTTACCTGCTGTAACATTTGCTCTGGACCTCAGCTCTATTCTGCAACAGTTCAACCTGCATGTGTGACTGCCTCCTCTGTTGTTTACTGTGTGAATATCTGTAGTTTTTTCTAAGTCTACTACATGGCTTCCCACCCATGTGTTCATGTTGTAGCGTGTGACTGCGAGTGCGTGAGATACACCATGTTGTTGTTAACACTATGGGCAGTGGCTTTGTGGAGCTTGAGATTTTCTCGTATGTCTCTGTAGCACCCGGGATGAACGCAGGAACCACCGCCACCGTGGCCCTGCTGAGGGACGGCATCGAGCTGGTGGTCGGCAGCGTGGGTGACAGTCGTGTCATGTTGTGCCGCAAGGGCAAGGCCCTTAAACTCACTGTTGACCACACCCCTGAGAGAAAGGATGAAAAAGACAGGTACATGATGCTTTTAAAAGCAGGTTTTAAACTTCATTTTTTCTTTCTTTTTTATTAATTGTAAGTGCCCTGAAAAGAATCCTGCCTTCGTAGCATACATGTACTAATATACCAATCTGCACCTGTTTAAAGGATAAAGAAGAGTGGGGGGTTTATCACCTGGAATAGCCTGGGGCAGCCAAATGTCAATGGCAGGTTGGCAATGACGCGTAGCATTGGAGACTTTGACCTGAAGAAGACGGGAGTCATTGCTGAACCTGAGACCAAAAGAGTAACGGTAGGTTTGTAAATTTAGTTTGTCACTGAAATATATATTTTTTGATACATGTTATCTTCAGAAGATGCAGTTTTTGTCATTTTTCCTCTGTGCACCACCACAGTGGGTCTTAAATCAGACAATAAAGATGCAACTGACTTTCAAACTTTTGAGGGTTTTTACAAAAATGTTAGTGTATAGGCACATATGGCTGCCAATGGAAGCAAGGCACTGGGGTTATTGGTAATGTGACTGCTGACAGAAGTAGCAGGATGAATTCTGAAGTGTGCATGTCATGCTGCAAAAAAAATTTGACAGTGCAAATGATAATGACCTAAAGCAAACTGGAAAAACAACCCAAGAGCTTCTTGAGGGAAAGAAATTTGATATTATTCAATGGCCAAGTCAGTCACATGATCGTAACCAAACAAAGCATGTCTTCAGTTACTAAAAACCAAACTGAAGTCACAGAGAGACACAAACAAGCAACAACTGAAGGTGGCTGCAGGAAAGCCCTAACCGAGCAGCTCGAGGGAGGAAAGCATTAGGTGAGACCTTAGCCACTGACTGCAAAGTTCACCCAGGTGTTTAAAAACAATCCTTATATTTAAAATGTTTGTCCGATTATTTCTGAGGCACTGAAAATGGGGACTGTTTTATAAAAATGACTGCAAAATATTTTGTTTGTATTTTGTACGTCACGATTGTTTGATGTAAAATCCACATTGCTGGTGTATTGGGCAGAACCATGGACTGTTTTAATGCAGATCTCTGCAACAGCACATTTTCACATCTGTTGTTCGCTGAAGAAGACAGTAAAGCCAGTCTTACCATCTTCTTGTAATAGTTCAGTAGATTTGTCTTTTTAATGTCTGTTATAAAGTATTATTTATTTATTCCCTTTCAGTTGCACAATGTCCATGACTCATTCCTGGCACTGACCACAGATGGCATTAACTTTATTATGAACAGCCAGGAGATCTGCAATGTCATCAACCAGTGTCACGAACCCAAAGAGGCAGCACAGAGAATATCTGAGCAGGTAAAACATTTGATGCTTTTGTTGAATATTAGCCCATGGGTCAATGTGTTACCTGTTCTCCTACAAAGTTGTTTGTTGCTGGGTTTCATTAAGTTTTGGTTGACTCATGTACTGAAATGATCTGTTAGACACAAAAAAGCTTCCCAAAACCGTGTCCATGTTTCCTCAAGTCTGGAATTTCCTACAGAAGATTAATTTTTGCTTGAATTTATCATTCATCCGATGACTTTCTCTAACCTTGTTGTGCTTCACATTGCGGTGCTCTGTTTTGTTTTGTTTTTTTAAGGCTATTCAGTATGGTTCAGAGGACAACAGCACAATCATCGTGGTGCCGTTTGGTGCCTGGGGAAAGCACAAGAGTTCAGACACGAGTTTCTCTTTCAGCAGAAGCTTCGTGTCCAGTGGTCGCTGGGCATAGGCTGCGGGACATAGGATGAAAGGACGAGGTCTGTTTAAGACTTTGTTAACATGTGCAATACATTTGGCTTCCTGTAAAGAAACATTGTAAAAAGTGTGTGGTTTGCCGAAATAATGACACCTAATGGCTACAACATTAATTACAGTTGCATGATGTTTATTGCCTGTGTGAACAAAGAGGCAGTGAATTCATGGGGGTAAATCTCCCTTTATACAAGGTTGTATCTACTAGCAAGCCAATGACCTCATAGGTGCTAAAAGTGTGTGAGCAGCAGACGGGAATGTGTGTTGGCTAAATCTGTAGCCTGCTCTACAGATTTAATTCCTCACCACCTTCTGCCATTCACACGTTGTTTTCTCAGTTTAGATTCATCACACCACAATCTCACTCACAATTTCATTTTTATTGTTAACCTACATTTTTAAAGAAAATGTATCCCACCAGTTTTAAGAGCACAGGTTTTAAGTTTGGACCATTTCTCCATTTTAATTTTGGGAGCAAGTGCAACAAAAGGAGTCAGGGTTGGGCAATTGAACTACAGTGATTGGTCATCAGCTGCTGTGAAACCCACACCTTGGTTGAAGAACTGGTGTCACTGATAAAGTCACTGACTGGGCCTTAAAAACTTTATGGCAAATTTAAAATATCTAAATTATATAGCTTTCCTATAAGAATTGTTCTTGTACATTTAGTTGCAAACCAACACTTTAAAATTTCCTTTATATTTAAAGAAAAACAAAATTTCTTAAAGAGCCGCAGAAGTTATTGGAAGACTTGGACAATCTTAAAAGATGTAAAGGTTTTGAACAGAGCTGCCTGGACAGCATTTTGGTGACTGAACTTGGTATTTATATAGGAATAAAAATGAAATTTTATGTTTCTTTGCCAGGCTTGCTTGATTTGCAACAGGTCCTTTAAAGGGGACTTAAGTGTTTGAGGTACTGAATCATACTGTTTCTGTTCTGTAAATAATCATCTGTGTGATATGTACACCTGGAAAACTGGTCTCACCTATATTTTCTTCATATCTCAGCTACGTTTGGCACATCAGAATATTCTACACATGCAGGTCTTTAGACACGGACCTGTGGTGTGAGTAACCTGGGGTTATTTTTGGTTTTCCACCGTTGTGTGTCAGTCAGACACAACAAAGCACACCTAATGCAACACTAGAGAATTGTTTAGCTAAGAGCCATGTATGACAATGTGAATGTTTGCTTAAACTGAAACAATGTAACCAGTCTCTGTAGGCTATAGGTGTGACTAAGCTGCTCAAGTCGTGTTGGCTGACCTTATGTGAGTGGATGTGTTTTCAGACTTAATCCGTTGAGCTGGTGGTGTGATCTTTTATTTTGTCCTTGTTAAGGCTAAAGAAATACAGCACGTCATATTTATCAGCATTATTTTATCTGTGAGTTCCTAATGTTGTATAAACTGTCATCTTGTAAATGTTCATGTAAATATATTTTCTCTCCCTTATTCTTGTATCTAACGGGACTTTGGATATTATAAAGGCGCTTGTGTGTATGATTTTCAAAATAGTTAACAAGCCTTCTGTCAGAGTTACTCTCTAACCTTGTGTTCAGTATTTTACTGTACTTTGTTGCACTGCCTCTGAAATATAATCATTGTGGTGTTGGATCTGCACCTGGGACCCAAATGTGACCGTTTGAACGACACTGTTAGTACTGTACTCTTGGTCTAAACGGCTTGTGACACTTTCAATAAAAAACGATACATTTAGAAACCGTTTTCTTTGTAACATGGACGTGTTGTTATCCTCGTGTAGGTGATCGAATGCTTTTGTCCATACAGTGAAAGATTTACATCAACAGAGCAGTTTACATGCCACTTCAAACAGATAAGAAAACATCGATATTTTTTAAAATATTTATTTTTGCATTATGTCTACATATATTCCAGATTTTTCTTTACTTTTTTCTTTATTTATTTTTTTAACATGACCAAGTTTGAGCTCGTTGGCAATCTTTATTTAGAAAATTACAAATTGTATGGAAGAATTTGATAAATTAAAGAAGGCAGGTGTCTGAAAAATAAATCTTGGACACCTTAATTGAGTCCAGAGTTAGGAAGCTCTGCTCCACCTACTTGACTAATTAAATAACAGGTATACGTAATAAATAATGAAATCTTAATTGTTGTCAGTTAGACAAGAACACTTTTTTTTTTTTTTTTTTTATTTGTTCAGTTAAAAATGAGATTTTTTTTTTTGTTATCTGGATTGATTGTGTAGATTCAAACTGCTTTAAGTTGTTGGGGAAACAACCTGACAAACGAATAATAAAAAACTTCCTGTTTATCCTCAGAACAAATTCAAGAAATTTCCAAATGTAAATGGAGAACTAGACAAAACTAGACATTCACTCAGTTGTGGTCAATGTCAGTTTGATTTCTACAGCACTTTGGTCAGCCATGTTGCTTTTTAAAGTACTTTACGGGTTGGTTTAAAACCACATGAAACTACACATTAATAAAACAAAATCAAACAAACATATTTGAATAAAACAAGATAATAATAATAATAAAGGGGAACACAACATAAAAAGCCTGATGGGACTTGAATTTGACTTTGAACTTCAATTAAAAGGCTGGATTTAAAAGACTGCATAAACTACAGTACAAATATCAAGTGGCAGGTTATTGCATTAGTCTAGGGTCTGCAGCTGAGACTGAATCGAGACTTCGGTTGCACTGAGAGCATCTGGCTACATGTTTTGGAGTTATATAGGTTGAGCGGCTTGACTAAATAGATGAATGACATATTGTTTAAGACTTTAAAAGTAAGTCAGAAAGCAGCCATCTCAGATCTATGTGAAAAGTGCCATGTGCCACAAGGATACATGACCACAGCATGGAGATACTCTGAGAGAATATTCTGAGCCACTGTGAGATTTCTCCCAAGGCCACCAAGGGGAGACAGAACTCAAAGTTAATGTTTGTTCTGACACTGATCCAATGGATCCACCACAGAATCCACGGCAAGAAGCACTGAGTGGGATTGCAGGTGTCAGCCATTGCTTCACATCTTTCCTTGTCGTGGGTTCCAGAGTCGTTTTCCATCCCTGCCTTCTGAACATGAATGCAGTAGACGTCTTTAGGTGGAAGCTTCCACAGAGTAGAGTTACTCCGTGACACCAAAGAAGTTACATAAGACCGCTTTCCTAACGCACTTATGTTGAAAATTGATAGGCACACTAATGCACACATGCAGACTCTTTCAAACTCTGGACGCAGCATCACACCGTTGCAATCTAATGCTGCTAAAATTAGGATCATAGTTCTCTACAGTCTTCACAGGATTGTTGGCAACCTAACAGAGACTATATCTTGTGCAATAAATCCATTATGCTCTCCTGTGAAACCTGATCCTGTTTAGTCAAGAGTTGCATGAAGACACAGATATAAATTTTCTTTTACACGCAGGCATTGAAATCCAGCATTCACAGTCACACTCTGGGCTTTAGTATCACAAACACAAAGTTACTGCAGTACATCTACTTTACCAGGATGCCACAGGTAGATATTCTCTCTTGTGACAAACTAAAGTTAGCCACACATATTTAATTAATTTGACTGACGATACAAGTTTGTGTAAGATGAGCCAGGTATGCAAACTTCAATGCAATGATACATTAACATTTAAATTCCCACCCCCTAAAAATCTGTAAGCTGTGTATCTGTCAGTCACCCCTTGAATTAAGTGTCCAGAACTATTAAACTGCATTTCTAGACATTTTAAAAGGGGATAGATGCTCTACTAACTACTTCAGCTACAATCTATTAAGTTCTGACCCTCAGCACTCATGTGTAACCCCATACAGTAGTGGGTAGCTAAACAACAGATTGCCAGATGCAGATTTCATTATATTCCAACTCCTGGAAGAAACCAGTAACTCTGGTGGAAAAGGGGGATAAGCTGATTTATTATAAGTGGCATAACTATAGAAAATGCTATAATGAAGTTATCTGGCTAACTTTTGTATGAATAAAACGGAAAAAAAGAAAAATGAGCAGCTGTGAAAAATGTGATGGGCCTCAGCTCCCTCCCCCAGCCTGAGTGGGGTTGACCCTTGTGTGAGCTGCCGCTGGCCATCAGTCTGCAGCAGCAGCCCTCTCACATCCTCACCGCCCGGTAAGTCCCAGCTACAAATATTTTCTCTCCTCACTCTGTTGATTTCAGCAGCTCCTCAATCATATTTTATTTATTAACGTCTGCAAGAAATCACGTGCAGCTGCTGCCTTGATTTAGCATTGGCGCAAGAAGAAATACTCCCTTAATTTTATCTCAGGCAGGTTTGACCCATGGAGTGTAAATCACCGAGGTCACGTGTTTTACATAGCTATAATATTCTTGTCCACTCATATACCTGCTGTGTTTTTTTTTCTTTCTTTAACACGTGAGCTCAAACACAAAACACTGCTATAAAGAGCAGCGCGTGCCACAGAAACAACGTGTGGATTTAAAAACTGTACTTTGTTCCCAATAATAATAATAATAGTAAAGCACATCAATACGTTTCAGTACATCTTTAGTCCTCTAAATTAATACAAGTTAAAATAAATAGTGGACATGTCCTTTGAGTCGAGCACCCTCATAAATGTGTTTAGAAATATTAAGCTTACAGTGTTGTCCAGCATGTCATCCCCGAGTAATGCAGTGAAAAGTCCACTGTTCCTTAAATTCCAGGATTTTTATTTGTTGTATTTATTTATCCTTATCAGTTTATCCCTTCGAAGCCGTAGAATACCAGCCTTAGCCTGCATTTAAACTTACAACTTCAAAATTAAATTAGATTAGAGTAGATTAGAAGAAATGTGTGTCCACATGTTGATCTTTTTTGCTTTATAAAATTTAGAGCTAATGCCTCCTTTGGCAATGAACATTTAGTTACTATCTTGTTGTTTACCACTTTTGCAGGTGTTTATTATTTAAGTGAGACTCTCAGGATGGTTAAAACAGCTGATAACTATGCTGATTTTAGGATTATTGCTTCAAAAAGTGATTTGCATCCAGCAGGTATTCAAGAGGTGGAAACCTTAACACCACTTCAAAGCGATCCTTATCACCATACTGATCAGTCTGTGCCTTTAGTAAAGTAACAGCGTTTCTCTTTCATGTATAAAATTCTGTGTTTTTGGTTGCAGCAGAGGATGATGGAGAAAACCAGTCACATCAACATTGCAATGATAGAAGACATCGGTACTAACGGGATGGCCGTGTCAAAGGTCGGCACGGGCGTGGACGGGACGAAACAGCGGTGCGGTTCCACCGTGAGCTTCCACAACATCCAGTACAAAGTGCAGCAGCAGAGCGGCTTCCTCTGCAAAAGAAAGATCCTCTCCAAGGAAATACTGGTGGACCTCAAGTCAGTCTCTTTGTCTTTCTCCGCTCTGTCACCTTCTCCCTCGCTTTCCTCCGTTTTCTCATCACTCACACACTACGCGCACATGAATTTACAGATATTAACCTGCAGAGCTATGATTTGCTCACTTGATAAGTGCAGCAGAAAACCTGTAAAACATTTAATACCTGTTTTTTTTAAATTATTTCCCCTCTGCTTAAGCTAGCTGAACATGCACAGAACCCCATTAAACAGTAGAAATCTTATGATTTTTACTTTGTTGAATTTCAGAAAAAATGCCAAATGAATCCTTTTGAATTTTATTGCACTGACTGTTTTAGATTTCTTTTAATTTTGGGGGGTGTCGTCTTGCTTTTTTTCTTTTGTTTTCCATGTCAGTCCAGTACAAAGTGGGACAATAGTGAATAGACCCTTGCAGTTCCTTTCTGATGGTATTAAATACAGCTGACGTTTCCCATGGAAGAATGAATCATTTCACACAAGTTTTTTGGGGGGGGAACCTTTTTCCTGCCACAGTGTTAATTATATGATATTAAGCATGGTTTCTTGCATATAATCTCTCAAATGCACTAAAGAGCAGTCTGCCAGGGAAACGAATTAAACAGCGTCACGTGATCCACCGCCAGACCTTAATTCAGTCTTCAACTCTGTTTTAAATCACTGACTCACTCCGTGCTTTCTGAAGTCTCTGAAGTTCTTTAAATTGTTACTTTTTTAAAAAAAATGATATGATATCTGTATTTGCTGTAAAATCCATTCATGAATATTACTTTAAATGGGATTGGGAGGGATGATTCATTTAATAAAAGTAGTTCATTTCAGCATGTGTCTAAGGACCATATTAACTACTTTGATTCACATGCTTTGTGTCTGTGGCATAAAACTGATACAGTAAAAATCTAAGAAAAAACATTTATAATTGGAAACATAAGCAAATATGTGTCCCAGTATTTGAGTTTCTTTTTTCATTATTAAATCATTACACTCTTTTTGCCTGTGTCACTGTCTCGCAGTGGGATTATGAGACCTGGTCTGAATGCTATTCTTGGACCTACTGGAAGTGGAAAATCTTCGTGAGTACTACTTCAGTTTTCAAAAATACAGTTAGGTCTATAAATCATTGTATTATTATCTTATTACAGTATAAATCAATTAATCAATATGTGATTGAACAAACAGTAATACAAGCAGTACAAGTAAGTATCGCATTTGCTGTGAACAGCCATCTGACATGTTTGACAGAGGGTGGGTTGTGCTTTGGATCATGAGCATTTTCTCTCCTTCACCATTGTTTTCTCTTCTGTTCATACTGGTACGCGTTCATCTTGGTTTCATTTTTCCAAGGTTTTTTTTCCTGAACTGTGCGAGCTCTTGTAGATGTGTAACCAGAGGTTTGCACCTTGTAGTAAACGCTCTGTATTCATGAAAGCGTCTCTTGATCATAGTGCTCTTCACTTGGTTAGATGCGGTGACCCATAGAACTAATTCAGCACTTTAGTCGTCGTAATACTGGGCAGTGGATTCATTGTTTTTAGGAACCAACCAAGTGTTTCATTTGGCCGCTCTTAACCCTGTAAAGCTTGAACCATGATTTTTTTAACCCTCTCAGGCTCAAATTAAGTTTTTGTTGCTAATGCACAAAAGAATACCTGCAGTGGTACTTCTGAGTAAAAAAAAACCTCATAAAATATGTATGTGGGGTAATCAGGTTGTTAGCTTTTAACTGTTGCAAATCTGCAACGCCTGCCTTGAGAGAGTTAAACTGGACTGTTTATTAAACCTTCTGTCAGCTCATAATACTTTGAGCTGACTTCAGATATTACGTCTGCTTCATTTGTCAGTTGAAATTATGAGGGAAAGAGCCTCACCTAGCCACGAAACGTCTTGTTAATTATTTTTGAACCTTTAAAAATGGGGTATTTATGCATAAAAGGCCTGCAATTCCTAAACAGTTAATGTGATATTTTTAGGCCCGTTGAATTCAAATGACATTGTCTGAATACCTATGGACGTAATTGTATATAATCTTGAAATAATTACCTTAATTTTTGTTTTGGATATCTGTAGAATTTTTCTTTGCTCTTTTTCTTTGAGATTCTTGGATATTCTGGCTGCGAGGAAGGATCCCGCAGGTCTCTCGGGTGAAGTTCTCATTGATGGAGCCCCACAGCCTCCAAACTTTAAGTGCCTCTCTGGCTATGTCGTCCAGGTAAATTTGTATTTCTTTAAATAGCTCATATTAACCATTTTATATCCACTCAGATGCACTGATATGGATATAGTGATATTATGTTTTGAAATATATTTATTTGATAAATGTACAGTGCTTAACAAATGCTTGATACCACCTGCCACAAATATTTTAGAAATCTATCAAAAATTTGTTCAAAACTACACATTATGTTACTATTTATCAGGTAAATAACAGCTGAATTTACATTTTTATACCCAAATTTGAGCCGGCACTCTAGTCGTCTCTGAGAAGTCAGGAATTAATTGAGCGTCAATCGTGAAAAAAAAATTTTTCTGTTTAGGAGCACTAGTAAAAAAAACCTGTAATTCTAAAAAATAAAAATAAAAAAATCAGCTTTTTTGTAAAATGTTAAATTGGAAAAATTGTGGATAGGACAGATAAATATATGTTAACATTAAAATAAATCCTTTCAATTAAACAGTGTATGGATGCTGGTGGGTTAATCATTACAGAAACATAAGAATTGCTTTTGATAATTAGCAGTGCTTTTAATTTAGAACAGCTGTGGGATAAAACTTAAATTATGTTTTGGTCTAATAAACTTGTTAAGCACTGTAAGTCGGAGTCATTCTCTGGTTGATTTTTTACGTACTTAATGCAGCTCTCTTTAGGTGTTAAGTTAAGCAACGTGTAAACTGGCTTTTCACTACTTATTTTTTGTTTTGGGGTCTTTTTCAGTGACGCATTGGCCGGCCTCGACTGGTTTCTTTAAGCTTTCATGCAGAAAAAGCTGAGAGCTTTGACTTTCTCTTAGACGCTGCGTCTGAGAGCAAAGCAAATGTTGTAGGCTGTAAAACCAACTTAACACACAGAGGTTGGCCTTTAAACATTAAACATAGTGCTGAGATTGTTTGTGTTTGTGTTAGACCTCTTTTAAGAAGAAACTCTTGAGATGAGAAATATTTTGTGCAAGTGTCCTTAGAGAAGACAGGCAGGCAGGCTTAGACCTCCCAGAAAAACCTGCAAACCCTGCCGAGGTTCACTCCTTCTTGCAGTGAGGCAGTGAACTCCGTCTTGTTTCTGGTTGTTTCCCTTAAGGATTTGTGGAAATGATAACTACAAAATAGCTTTTCAGTTTGTGACCTTTGATCAAGCTTTGGTCTCCCTGCTAGGAAGATGTGGTCATGGGCACCCTGACCGTGAGGGAGAATCTGCGTTTTTCTGCCGCTCTGCGACTGCACGTCTCCGTGCCTCAGGTCGAGAAGGAGGCTCGAGTCAATCACCTCATTAAAGAACTGGGTCTCACCGAAGTGGCTGACTCCAAGGTGCTGCAGATAATCACAGCCTGTCACTCACCTGTCCTCTAACAAGCAGCCTGCCCCGGCAGATGAAGCTCGTTTTCAGCGATTCCCGTTGTGTTTTGTTGGTGTTTTTTTTGTTCCTCAGGTGGGCACGCAGATGACCCGAGGAATCTCAGGAGGAGAGAGAAAGAGGACAAACATCGGCATGGAGCTGATCATCGATCCTGCTGTCCTATTTCTGGATGAACCAACCACCGGGCTAGACGCAAGCACTGCTAACTCTGTCCTGCTCCTGCTGAAAAGGTGAGAAAGCCCGGACTCTCTCTAATTTCTCAGATTTCTTTAAAGTAAAGTAAAATCTTGAGCTTCTGGCCTTTAAAGAATTTTTAAAAGTGTTTCAAGCTAAATTCTGGAGTTTGGTTAACTTTAAACAGAAGCTTATCACTTTACATAGAAGAATTACAGCAGGAAAACTGCTGCTGTTTGCTTCTACTTTATTTAGATCAATTTATTGTGGTGCCTATTGATTTTTTACTGTGTTATGTGTCTTTTCAGAATGGCGAGTCATGGTAGAACCATAATTATGTCCATCCACCAACCTCGCTACTCCATCTACAGACTGTTTGACACTCTCACACTGTTGGTCGGTGGTAAAATGGTGTACCATGGACCAGCACCAAACGCTTTGGACTACTTTGCCAACATCGGTGATTACACTGACTAAACAGTAACATCACAAGACACTTCTTTACAGTTTTCTTTAATTTATGAAGTAAATAAATGTAGATGGATGTGCAGCTTCTAAAAAAGCTGCAGGGTCACTATATGTATAGGATTTGCTTTGATATTGAGCTGCAACATTGTGATTTGTGTTCAAGGCTATGCCTGCGAGGCCCACAACAACCCAGCTGACTTCTTTTTGGATGTGATTAACGGAGACTTCACCGCCACAGCAATGACCAAAGTGCACGGCTCTGAAGGTAGCGGCATAATTAACCAACTATGAATATTCAGTCAAGTTTGTATCACATCTCCTGGTTTAATAGAATAACAACAAACAAACATATCCTGTGCAAATGTGCCCATTTCTTTGCATTTTTCTTTGATTTTGCAACATCCACAAAAAGGCACGATACAATAAAGAAGATACAGTATTTTTACCTGGAACTTTTTATTAACAAGTTATTTAAAGTGTTTTAAATTTGACATTTATAGTGATTAGAACAACATGTCAAACGCACAAATTAGAGTTGACAGAGTAAAACAGGAACACAGATGGTTTTTACTGGACCTCATAACGCCTTAATTTTTGTTAACATTTTCTGCAAGTGAAAAAATTTCACGTGAAAACGTAAGCAGAAAAAATCAGGGATTCCTTCACATCCATGGGAGATTTTGATAAAGTCATGTAGAAAACAGCTGAAGTCGTGGCTGCTAAAGGGGGTTCTACAAGCTGTTGAATCGTGGGGTGTACATAGTCGACCATTAACTCTATTCTAGAGTCAAATCTGTATATAAAGTGCCAGAGTGAATTGGTGCTATGAACATAAAATATAACTGAGTGGGTTTTTTTGTATTTGTGAACAGATTTGGACTTCAAGGAGCTCAGTAGCTCCAGGCAGAGCATCGAGGAGCGCCTGGTGGATGAGTACAGGAACAGCGGTTACTCCAGCAACACACGAGCCGAACTGGAACGCATTGTTAAAGATAAGCGCTGTGGGTCCCTCCCAAAGTCCCGCACCATCACCTACAACAGCTCGTTCTTTCACCAGCTACGATGGGTCCTTCACAGAACATTTCAGAACCTCATGTTGAACCCCCAAACATCTGTGGCCCAGGTAAGCACGTACACCATCGTCTTTTAGGGCACGCGTTCGACTTTCAGACGTCGGTCAGTGCCACTCTCGTGTCTGTCAGCTGAACATAAAGCTCATTAGCTGGTGAAGACTTTTACCAACTTTTTTGTAGCTATATGGGTAACTTTAAATAGTTAATTAGTGACAGGTTTAAACTTAAGTATGTTTAAAAATAAAAGCATACACTGTTCCAAAAAATAGTAATGTCAAAGTATCTTACTGTATATTTTACAGTTTTGTACTGTCTTTCTGGAATATCATGAAATTTACATAGGTAGACTGTGATTTTACATGTCAAAGGTAAAATAACATAACATCACTGTAAATATAGTAAAACACAATTTACTTGTTTTTTAAATATATATTTTTTGTACATATGTATATTTAGATTGTAAAAATACATTCAGAAATGTATCATAATTTCACAAATATTTGTCTGTTATGTGAGAGAATGATCTGTTAAATTCAAATGTAATACTATGGAAAAATATATAAAATGATAGAAAATTAATGAGAATAATCAATAATTAAAGGAGTATTTGAATTATAATTTTGCTGAAAATTTCATGTCATCTAGGTCTGATTCAATAATTCAGAGGTAACAAGTGAAAATATAATTAATAGAAATAAAAACAAACAAAAAAAACATATAAAACATTGCCCGGCCACGCTGTGCTAATTATATATTTTAAAAAATAAATGTAGAGGTAGGAATTGCAATTAATATAAATCTCAAAGTATTCACAACATTCCTGAACAGAAATAGGCCTCTGCACCTGGGTGAGGGTGTGGCCATGAAAACAATGTGACATGCCATTGGATGTTGGGACACATAATAACATGACGCTAAGCATCGGCCAATGAATGTGAACTAACAACTACAAGGTCGCGGGTATGGCTGCACTGTAGGAAAAAATCCTAATATGAAAGTATTTTACTGTGCATTTTACAGTTTTGTTCTGTTCTTCTAGAATATCATTAACGTTACGTAAATAGACTGTGAATTCACATTTCGAATGTAAATTAACGTTAAATCACTGTAATGTAATACAACATAATATTCATGATTGCCGGAATATTACCGTTTTTTAGGATTTGTTTTTTTTTCCTATTTATAGATAATTTCATTGTTTAATCACATTAACATGTTCCTAATTTAATGTTTAAGATCACTTGAAAAGGCAAGATCCCATGTAAAATTAGCGCAACAAACTGTATTGTCATTACTGGAAATAACCGTATTTTTATGAGGAAGTTATTTTTTGTTATTTTACGGTAGTATTTTGGCGCCCCAGCTGCCAGAATATTACCGTTTTTTAATGTTTTTTTTTAACAGTGTACATTGTATTGGCCCCATCATCGTGAGCAGGATACGCAGCGTGTTAGAGGGGTCACCTTTATGCCCCCATTAGTCGCCCCATGGCGGCAAAATGCTGTCAGAAGTCTCCTCACTTTAAGAATTATTAACAGCTAATTGGTCCTAAATAAGTCAAAAATAATCCTTCGAGAAGGTTCCTTGGTGGCGTGGGTGCTGTAATCAGCTTTGGTGACTGTTGTGACCCCACTCCTGCCTCTTTGGGCCTGAACCTGAACTGATATCATATCTAGCCAAAGCCCCTTGGCCCCGGTGTGGGAGTCATCACATGATGGCATCATGACCTATCCCGCCGCTGCCCAGCTTCCACATGAGGGACTGAGGGGAATGAGGTGAAAAAGGCTCAACCTTACTGGCTTATCCCTTCACCCTGGGAACCGCTTAGTCCTGTCATAACCTGTAAATAGTTTCAGCTTAAAACATGTCTTGCTTTCACCTTTTTTCCCCTCCATTCAGTCATCTCACCCCAGGATCAGTTCAGGAGGACATAACCTTAGCATTTTCTGCTCACTTCAGTCCTTTGTACCCATGTTTTTGTTTTGTTTTTTACCCCCAAAAGTTTAATTTAGTTTTTCCATAAACTAAATTCAAGTTTGGATTAAACTGGACTTCAGGAGGTTTTAAGGTTTTTTATATAACAACATATTGAATGTGTATGTTGTAGGCACAGAAGTCATCACGTTGTCTAAATCTCTTACGCAGCTGGGAGTCAACGTTTTCCTCGCTCTCATCGTGGGAGCCATTTTCTTTGGGGTCAAAGATGATCAGAGTGGTATTCAGAACAGGTGAGAGAACTGCTCTCAACAGTGAGCTGGAGTCACATAATAATATTTTACAAAATGTTCTGAGTATGTAATGTGACTGTCCTGCTGTCATCTCCAAAAAAAAAAAAACATCTTCATGGCTAAATAATTTGTACTTTGATCATTTTAATGTTGTGTGTTATTTGTTTATTTAAAGCATTCCTATTGTCTAAATGCCACAGCAGCTAATCAGCTAATCGCTCTCACTTATAATACTTATTACATCGGTGTAATTTAGCTGGTTTAATACATATGGCACTCCATGAAATGCATGTAATAATGTAAAGCTCACACAGCAAAATTCCTTTTGTCTCTCATCGTCTGCAGGCCAATAAATACCTCAACATACTCTTATAAAATCGATGTTTTTATTAACTGTCACATTAACACAGCCCTCGGCCTGTTACTGCAGTATGACTGTTACTTCCCCATCGGGTCTTGCAGTTATCGCAGTAAACCATCTGATTTAGAGGAAATGTTGGCACGTGTGAGTGAACAATGCAGCTTAAAAAATGCTCGAGAAAGTCCTTCGCCTCCATAGTCGGGGTGTGAGACGCAGCGATGTGGTTCAGATATGGGTTTAATACACTTGTAAAAGGTTCATTTAAGACTACAAACCAGTCAGCTAACATGAAAAATGTCAACCTAAGATTTGACGCTAAAATGTTTAAGCTATATTCATGGCTTGGTTTAGTAATGCTTCGTTGATCGCTTAAGCCTGTAAAATAACATTTGGGTTGCCAGTTTGTAGAGTGTCTTTCTTTAGCATGGTACTTCACTTGAAGACACAGTGTGTCTTTGCTTCCCTCTTTCCAGATTTCTTGTGTGTGCCTCATGTCAGCAAACTGAGCGAATCCAGCAGCATTCGTGAGGAAAATTACTAATAAGCAATTTATTAATTGTTTGGACTCTACATATTTTATAGATGATGTTTTCCACAATATGTAAACCCCAAAACTCTTTTTTAATGCGCTGCAACTACAAAAAATCTATATCGATGGGCAAATGTTTAAATTAGTAGCTTTAGTAGCATTTATTTTTATTAGTAAGCCATTGTTTTAAACTGGACTTCTTTTATTGTTTCGTTTTAGGTTGTTTTGTTTTTATTTTTTAATACTATGCGTTTACACACTAAAGGCAACATGTTTCCCCATAAATGTTCAGGTCAGTGACCGCTTCTGGTGAAAAAGTGTGAAAGGTAATTCCCGCTCGGTTAATCTTCTTACCGTTTTTTATTGGGCACAACCTGGTACTCGCAAGTCCAGCGAAGCCCATCAGAGACCTCAGTGGTCTCCCTTTTTCCGTTCAGTAGTGTACAGGGACCTAATGTGATTATATTCAAGGTCAGTGCACATGCAGAATGGCAGACAGCCCGTACGTGGCTTAAATGTCTCAAGTTTCTCACCCCTCCTTCATCTTTGCTTGGTGTAGGGGCTAATATTGGGGCAACAACAATCAGCATCAACAGTCAGCGTAGGAAAATCAGCAATGAGGGAAAAAACCTAGAAACAAACGCAAAAGAAATTTGTGAGGAGTCGTGTGAAATATTGCTCAGATTGGGAGTCTGTGCTCAGGACATCGGTGACAAACTACTGCAAACATTTTCAAGTTTTCAAAGGTCACGTTACAGTATGTAAGATCTTTAGTCTTTATTCTGCTCTGAACATGACTGTTTTCTTAACAGTTCAGTACTGTGCTGAAATTCTTGAGCCGCCACTCACTTCTTTATGTTTTGCTAAGAAAATGTGAAATAAGTACAGTGATTTGTGCAAACTCCATACAGTATATTCCTGTACAGAGTTTGTACAATTCCCCATACTGAAAAGTCAATATTTGGTCTGACTACCATTATTCTTCTACACAGCCTGAACTCCTTTAGGCAAGCTTTCTTACCATTTCTTTAAGTTATCTTTGGGGATAGTTTTCCGGGCTTCTTGACGGACATTCAAAGGTCTTTGGATGTTGGCTGGCTTTTGTTCTGTTCTCTGTCAACATTATAATGACGAAGTCTGGGCTCCAATAGTTCCCCAGGCTTTCTGAAAGACCTTCAGAAGATCTGGAGAACTATTGCTCAAGAAACTCTGGCTCTTTGAAGGCAAAATATAAGGAAATGAGGAGTGGCTCAAGACTTTTGCACAAAGCTGTGTCTTTGCTTCTGTGTTGATTGACAGGTTGGAGTCTCATGTTATTTTTTTTCTAAGACTTTTCCTGGCAAGCATCCTATACAGGTCTTATCTGTGCAGTCTCTTTTTGAGTATCCGGTTGTTCAGTCTGACGTCACTAGCCGTGTCTGGACCTAAACTCCGCTGCAGGTCCATGTATCAAACGACCACTATGGCATTACTGAGAGTTGAAAAACTGTCTAAAGTCTTTCATCTTTAATAAAATGATCAGCGTTCTGCTCTACCAGGTGTAACAATTGCGTTTAACATCCAGGCATCCATGAAAACGGAATTTATGACATTTAACGGAGTTAGAAGTTAGCAGGGAGTTAGCTCGCTAGCTTCTATCTAAATACAATATAGCATGTCCTGACTGCGGGGTTTTGGAAACAAATTAAAACGTACAGCTCTGTTATCACTTCCAGCATAAATGAAGACAGGAAACTAAACAGCAGTGACGTTTGTAGGGTTACTGAAGTTTGGCTAGCTGGTATATAATGATGTGCTACGTGACCGCTAGCGACACAGCTATGTTAGCATAATATAAACAAGATAACTTTTTTTCCACTCGATAAAAGTTACCGTGAGTGTTCTCGGTGGTCAGGAACAAATGTAATCGCATGGCAGGATGCTGTAAAAGGACCAAACTTCAGCCAGGAGAACAACTGAGATAATCCATCCACAATACGAGGTTAGTCATTCATATACTGCTGCATGGGCTGGGCTGTAGTTACATCCTAAGGTTTTAAAAACTGAGCTTAAATAAATGATTAGCGATAATAAAAGCCGAGGGAGGTCAACAGTGATCACTGACTGTTTTAGGAGCTTTTTGAGATCAAATATAAGAAAATACATAACATTAAACATGTTAACAACACAAAAGCCATATTAAACGCAGACTACTTTAGACCCGGAAGTAGGATTTGTCGCGTCATCACTGAACAACCGGATAGCGTGCACTTTAAGTGTTGTGCTGTCCGAGAGGTTCCAATTCCAACTTTATTTATACAGCACCAAATTACAAAAACAGTCGCCTCAAAGCGCTTTCTATTCCAAGGTAGACCCTACAATAATACCTACAGAGAAAAACCCAACAATCACATGACCCCCAGTGACCAGACTTTTGCTTTTCTGATTGCTCCAGGATGGGCGCCCTCTTCTTCATCACTACCAACCAGTGTTTCAGTACTGTGTCTGCTGCCGAGCTCTTCATCACTGAGAGGAAACTCTTTGTGTAAGTTCTCCATCAGGACGCCGTATACGTGTGTGTGACTCTAGATTGAACTGTTGCTTTATGTGTTTCTCTCGTGACAGGCACGAGTACATCAGCGGCTACTACAGAGTGTCTGTCTACTTCCTTTCTAAGATCCTGTCTGATATCGCTCTGCGCACCGTCACCTCTGTTATCTTCAGCTGTGTTGTCTATTTTTTGATTGGTGAGACTTTTATCTATTTATCTATTTTAATTTTTGCATTTAAATTTAAATAAATGACATCAGTGTGTAAAAGCGCACAAAACTGTGTGTCCAACCAGGGCTAAAATCCACAGCAGAAGCCTTTTTTGTCTTCATGCTGACGGTGACTCTGGTGGCTTACACAGCCACAGCCATGACCATGGCCATCTCAGCTGACCAGAGTGTCGTGGCTCTTGCCAACATCCTCATGACCATCACCTTTGTCTTCATGATGGTAAGAGATACAGCAACCCCATGACCCACATAAATAAGTTGGAAGGGAGAAGGAGTAAAAATGACATCTCCGTTTTTTGTTTTAGGCAACTTTAGGGTTTTTTAAAAAAAAGAAATGAGACATTTTAAACAGAAGACTCACTGATGACATAAACTCACTGGTCACTTTAACATCAGATGTGGTTATAAAGGGATGGAGATGGTCGGCTATGCTGGGGTGTGGTCTTATTCAAGGTTTGATGTGTCGTGCATTCAGAGATGCTCTTCTGCACACTTGGACTGTCACGAGTTGGTTGCTGTTGCCTGCTCAGAGCAGTCTGACCATTCTCCTTTTACTTTTGGCATCAACAAAGCATTTTCACCCAGACCTGCCATTCACTGGATATTTTCTCATTTTTTGAGATTGCTGTGTGGGCAAAAATTCACTTCAATCACCTTTCTTTCCCATTCTGATGCTCAGTTTGAACTTCAGCAGGTCTTCTTGACCTTGTGTACTTGCTTAAATGCACCAAGTTGCTACTACGGGGTTGACAAATTAAGTATAAGAACGGCAATGCCTAATGAAGTGGCCAGTAAGTGCATTTTAAATGATTGTTGATTGATTTCTTAATCAATAGCAAAATTTTCCAGAAAACATTGACTATTGAATCTATATCTGACTAAGTCTCTATAAGCAACACAGATATATTATATTATCCGTATATTATAATGAACAATAGACAGTTATTCATCTACGTTTTACTGTCTGATAGTAAAAGCTCCCGTGAGACTATTAACATCCTGCATCTGGACTTTGAAACATTTAGATGTGTTTGTAAGTCGTGTTATGTCAGCTCTACCCTCCAGAAAAAAGACATCTAAACTGACTTTGTGTCTGCTAGATTTTTTCAGGACTCCTGGTGAATCTACCCAGCACCAAAGACTGGTTGGCTTGGCTGAAGTACTTTAGTATTCCTCGTTATGGTCTTGCAGTAAGTCAGCATTAAAGGTTTTGACAGCAGACGATGCAGATATATAGAGAAAGTAGCAGAAACAATTCAAAATTCAGACAGAGGTTATCACCTCAATGAAATACAGTGGGGCAAAAAAGTATTTAGTCAGCCACCGATTGTGCAAGTTCCCCCACCTAAAATGATGACAGAGGTCAGTAATTTGCACCAGAGGTACACTTCAACTGTGAGAGACAGAATGTGAAAAAAAAATCCATGAATTCACATGGTAGGATTTGTAAAGAATTTATTGATAAATCAGGGTGGAAAATAAGTATTTGGTCAATAACAAAAATACAACTCAATACTTTGTAACATAACCTTTGTTGGCAATAACAGAGGTCAAACGCTTACTATAGGTCTTTACCAGGTTTGCACACACAGTAGCTGGTATTTTGGCCCATTCCTCCATGCAGATCTTCTCGAGAGCAGTGATGTTTTGGGGCTGTCGCCGAGCAACACGGACTTTCAACTCCCGCCACAGATTTTCTATGGGGTTGAGGTCTGGAGACTGGCTAGGCCACTCCAGGACTTTCAAATGCTTCTTACGGAGCCACTCCTTTGTTGCCCGGGCGGTGTGTTTTGGATCATTGTCATGTTGGAAGACCCAGCCTCATTTCATCTTCAAAGTTCTCACTGATGGAAGGAGGTTTTGGCTCAAAATCTCACGATACATGGCCCCATTCATTCTGTCCTTAACACGGATCAGTCGTCCTGTCCCCTTGGCAGAAAAACAGCCCCATAGCATGATGTTTCCACCCCCATGCTTCACAGTAGGTATGGTGTTCTTGGGATGCAACTCAGTATTCTTCTTCCTCCAAACACGACGAGTTGAGTTTATACCAAAAAGTTCTACTTTGGTTTCATCTGACCACATGACATTCTCCCAATCCTCTGCTGTATCATCCATGTGCTCTCTGGCAAACTTCAGACGGGCCTGGACATGCACTGGCTTAAGCAGCGGAACACGTCTGGCACTGCGGGATTTGATTCCCTGCCGTTGTAGTGTGTTACTGATGGTGTCCTTTGTTACTTTGGTCCCAGCTCTCTGCAGGTCATTCACCAGGTCCCCCCGTGTGGTTCTGGGATCTTTTCTCACCGTTCTCATGATCATTTTGACCCCACGGGATGAGATCTTGCGTGGAGCCCCAGATCGAGGGAGATTATCAGTGGTCTTGTATGTCTTCCATTTTCTGATGATTGCTCCCACAGTTGATTTTTTCACACCAAGCTGCTTGCCTATTGTAGATTCACTCTTCCCAGTCTGGTGCAGGTCTACAAGACTTTTCCTGGTGTCCTTCGAAAGCTCTTTGGTCTTGGCCATGGCGGAGTTTGGAGTCTGACTGTTTGAGGCTGTGGACAGGTGTCTTTTATACAGATGATGAGTTCAAACAGGTGCCATTCATACAGGTAACGAGTGGGGGACAGAAAAGCGTCTTACAGAAGACGTTACAGGTCTGTGAGAGCCAGAGATTTTCCTTGTTTGAGGTGACCAAATACTTATTTTCCACCCTAATTTACGAATAAATTCTTTACAAATCCTACCATGTGGATTCATGGATTTTTTTTTCACATTCTGTCTCTCACAGTTGATGTGTACCTCTGGTGCAAATTACTGACCTCTGTCATCATTTTAAGTGGGGGAACTTGCACAATCGGTGGCTGACTAAATACTTTTTTGCCCCACTGTAGATACACATCACAGACAACCTCCTTCACATATATGTTTTAGCAGTTTTAGTTTTAATTGTCTGTAAGTGTGTTTTTATTGAACTGGGGTTGGACCTGAACTGGGCTCTAAACTTGATGTTAGATGGCTGAATGCATAGACTTAAACAGACTTCTCTGATTTTAACTGTTGGGTGTGGCACATTATACCAAACATACATGACCAAGTGGATAGCCTACTGATAATGCGCTTTAAAAACCCCATGTATAGTAACTGTCATGTTTGAAGATGGAGCCAAACTCAAAGGAGAGGATTAAGGCCAACAAACTAGGGACCAACTGACCACAAGCACAGCTAAAGACAAGAGACTTTAAAAATGAAACAGGAAATTACTTTATATGGCAACATATACGTGAAAAGGGAGTTGAGACCCAAAAGAGAATAGCTACATTACATTTATTGTTTTAAAATGGAACAAATGATCTGCCAAACGCACCATATTGTATTTAAATTGTTCTGCTAAGGATTTACTGCTCTGCCTCACCTGCTGTCTTTGTTCAGGCCTTGAAGATAAACGAATTTGTGGGTCTGAGGTTCTGCGAAGAGGTTGTAATCCGAAACAGCAACATGTCAGCTATGACAGCCAACTGCACTGTGAAAACAGCTGGCCAGACGTGAGTAATTGGTCCAGTTCTGTCTTACTGGTTAACAACATGTTGTATTGTGGCTCTAATATCTGACCAGTTTGAACATGCCTCATTTCAGATGCACAGGAGAGCAGTATCTGGAGTACCTGGGCATAGACTACACCTGCTGGGGTCTGTGGGAGAATCATGTAGCTTTGACTGTTATGATGATCATATTTCTCATCATTGCCTATCTGAAGCTTCGCTTCATCAAGAAATTTACTTAATGCGTTATCTGTTTTTTACTTTAATGTACCAGCACTGATAGATCTTGTGCTCAGAAATAGCACAATTAAAGCTACATTTATATATTGGGGGTTTAGTTTTATTTTACACTGCCCTCATATCTTTAGCATATAATGAAGCGAGAAAGTTAGAGTACAAGTGCAAATACTGAAATAAAAAGCTGAAAGCAGCCGAAAACAGCTAGCTAAACTTTTCTAGAGTTCACGTTTTTACCATTAGTCTCCCTGTAAAGCTCATAAAATCTTATTGTGTGTTGTGTTCAGCTGCTCATTAACCCTTTTACGCATAGTGGTCACTACAGTGGACAGCTATTCAAACACTGTTTTCTTGTATTCATATCAGTGTTGATGGTACACTTGCACATAAACCACTACATTGGACACTGATGTGTCACTCCATACCCTGCCGCTCACTCTAAAGGTGATGTTGTCATGTAAAAAACTATTTGAAAAATACACGTTTAAAAAATGAAGTTCAAAAATCTTTTTTTCATGCCTAAAGATGAATAAAAATACTGATTAAGGTTGTCCTAATCAATCACATGGTAGCAACTCAATGCATTGATGCATGCAGACATGAACAAGATGACCTGCTAAAGTTCAAACAGAGCATCAGAATATAGAGGAAAGGTGATTTAACTTGAACATGAAATGGTTTTTGGTACTAAATGGATTGGTCTGAGTGTTTCTGAAGCTACTGATCTACTGGGATTTTCCCCACACAACTATCTCTAGGGTTTACAGAAAAAAGTCAGAAAAAATAGAAAATATCTATTGAGCAGCAGGTCTCTGGGTGAAAATGCCTTCTTGATCGCAGAGGTCAGACATTCAACAATATCCAACTTGTTAAAATCAAAGTGTACAGAAGAGCATCTGTAAATACATGACAAACCTTGAAGCAGGTGGACTACAGCAGCAGAAGACCACATCACAGCCTACCTGTGTTGCTCACCCTGTCCCTTTTGGATCGCAGTGTACCCATCTTCTGATGGCTGCTTCATGCAGGATAACACACCATATCACAAAACTCAAATCATCTCAAACTGGTTTCTTTAACATGACAGTGAGTTCGCTGTGCTCGAATGACCTCTACAGTCAGCAGATCTGAATCCAGTACACTATATTTGGGACGTGGTGGAATGGGAGATTGATGTGAGCTGACAAATATGCAGCAGCTGTGTGATGCTATCATGTCAGTATAGACCAAAGTCTGTGAGGAAAATTTCCAGCTCCTTTTTAAATCTCCCCAACAAAGAATTAAAGCAGCTCTGAAGGCAAAAGGGGTCCAACCCAGTACTAGCAACCTAGTGGAGATGCCAGTGTGTGTATTTATTGTGCAGATATAAAAGTACCAGTATACCAAGTGAGCAAGTATGGCTGTTTCCCAAAATATCAAAACCTAGTTGTTGGTTCCTTTGTTTACTGTTATATAAGTTTAGTCTGGATAAAATCTTTGTGGGTATAAAAAATTGTGAGTCCAAAACAAACTAGACAGAATATTTTCAAATTATAGGATAAAATTGTGAATTTTCCAAAGTGAAAAAGTGTAGAAATTAAAAAGTATACTGGCCTCAAAGTAAACTTTCAAAGCTGTTTATTAATATTTACTTCTGCAGCATTTGTCAGTTTGTGACTTTTTCCCAATACCTTTGTAACCCAGTTGTTTTGATTAAAGTTTCCAAATTATACTTATTTAATTGTGCTATTAATTTTTCATAATACAATTAAAAGCTGATCATTTGTAATTGTAGACATTAAAGCATTACATCAAGTGGCTTTATCTGTTTTCCAAAGCAAAACTCTGTAATACATTTATACTCTGTTAGTTTTTTCATACCATGTATAAAGATCTTCATGTAACTTTTGGTCTTGTGTTTTTTTTTTATTATTAATGCATTAATTATTATTAATACAGTTATAAACCTTAGTGTAGTTACCACACACCAAAACCATGATATAAATTCTCCTGAAATAAGAAACTTTTTTTTTTTTTTTGCGTAACTTTAAATCAGTGTATATGGAAGAATTTGAAGTACAAACCAAATTTTGGTTACTGAAAACCTTAAAATGTGTAAAATATCTTTTAATTTAACATCATTTGCAAATAAATTTCAATGTACTAAAACTGCTGCATCTAAACTTTCTCGTTCTTAGACAAATCCAAAATGACTTTTGGCCTACTTTTCAGTTCACTCCAATTTTATTTATATAGCACCAAATCACAACAACAGTTTTCTCAAAGCGCTTTAATTTGTATGGTAAAGACCTACAAATAATACAAGGAAAAGCCAATAATCACAATACCGTCTATGAGCAAACACTTGGAGACAGTGGAAAAGAAAAACTCCCTTTTAACAGGAAGAAACCTCCAACAGAACCAGTCTCAGGGAAGTTTGTGGGTGCAGTTTATTTTCTGTTCAGATCAGTAGACAGTATGACTATTATTTGATTCTGCTTTGAAATAATGACTCATCTGTAATACTGTATATAATATGTGATTTCTCTCTCTTTTTATATATATGTTTTCTTGTAAAGTGAGATAAAACCAAGTAAAGTCCCCCTGATGTATTTTGATAACACTTTATTTGGCACAACAGATTTTTTTTTTTTTTAAAAAGGAAAAATAATGCATGGGTTTCCCATGAACACTGGATGCACTCCAAATCGAAGTTTGTTTAAAGTTACAATATGTATCATAAAACGATAAGCTAATTCATTGGAAGGATGAGTAAATGTGACAGGAAGTGCCACGCTTGTACCTACTGCATATTAAAATGATGAAAAAAGTAATCAGCAACATTATTATTCATAGAAAGGGCTTTTGTGTAAATGCTAATAATTGTGCATACAGCGATCGAAAGCATGTAATATTAAAATCATACACTGAATTCTGAATATACTTGCTCGCTGGTACATGCGTGTGTAATACTGTGGTGTAATGATTAAATCCTTCACTGTTCCTCAGCACCTTGTCTGTTTTGTTTACCTTTCGTCATCTGTCAAAATAATACGTGAGACTGAGTAAAGACCCTTTGCATGTGACAGCCTCTCTCATTCAGTGCATTTGTGTATACCAGGTGAGGTGCATTTGACTTCCTCTCTAATATGTCGAGTAAGTTAAACACCTTCCATGAGCTTTAGCACATTCTGCTGCAAAACAAAGACCCACATATTAAGTTAGGATCCAATAAAGTTTCTTTGCAGAGTTCAGCATGCCAAGTCTTCACACATGGCTGCTCCCATTCACGCCTGTGTCGAGGCCGTCGGTGGACAAGGACGAGGAAGGGCGAGGCCGCGGGCCAACAGGAGTGGCCGGCTGTGGGTGGCTGACCTGTGAGACCATATCATCGGACTCCCAGCGCTCCAGTTCCTCCCTGACGAGCCTTTCCATCTGCTCTCTGTGTGTGTCTGTGTCCCGCCCCAGATGTTCATCCTGACAAACGGAAACAGATTAAATGTCAAACTATGTTAACGTCAGCTCAACCCACACGTATTCATCTCGTGAGTTTATCCAGTTAACTTATAATAACTCATTCTGAGCTTCTTCCTGAATGTAAGGCAAGTATTTAAAAAAAAAAAAAAAGACTCTTGCTTAAATCCTAAATGTTCGATAGTGTTCACCACAGTGTTCATCACTGTTCGAGGGAGTGACTGAGAGTGATGAACCAAACAATAAAAAATACCTAAAAACCTCAAAAACTAGAATACTGTTTTAAAACTCAACTGAGGGGAGCTGCAGGGTGCAATTCAGCCATAAGTCAACACTACAAATGACGCATTCAGTCATGTGATAACATTATTAACATAATAACATATTAACACCTCACCTCCATGACTCCATCCAGCAGCCTGCTCACCACGTCTCTTCTTTTAAGATTAGCTCTCTCCATGACTTCCAGCTTGACAATCACTGAATCGATCTTCGACACTATGCTGCCGATAGAGTGCTCCATCCTGTCCACGCGTCTCACCAGCCTGCACAACAAAGAATGATTTTCTCTCTTGTTGTTAAATGTCATATAGCGCTGCAGCTGCTATCACTCAGAACAGCATGAAATACTACGACGTGACACACAATACCCATTTTTGCCTGCCAACATTAGCTGATGAGTTTAGCTGATGACAAAATTAAATCATTATTACATTATCAGTCTTTGTGTACAGCACGTGTTGGCAGATATGCAAAGGGACGATGCTAACACATCTGCAGTAATACAGATGCAGTTTCGCTAATGTCCAGTGCTGCATATACACCGATCGGGCATTTCTTTATCATGGCCCCTGTTAGTGGGTGGGATATATTAGGGAGGAAGTGAACATTTTGTCCTCAGAATTGACGTGTTAGAAGCACAAAAAATAGGCAAGCATAAAGATATGAGTGAGTCTGACAAGGGACAAGCTGGACAAAAACTGCAGCTCTTGTGATGTGTTCCTGGTCTGCAGTGGTCAGTAACTATCAAAAGTGGCCCAATGTGAACCAGTGACAGGATGATAGATGGTAAGGCCAAAATGATGCATGTGGGGAGTGAAGGCTGGCCCGATGCATGTGGTGTGATCTGATCCAGCAGATGAGCTACTATAGCTCAAATTACTGAATAAGTTAATTCCCCAGATCTCAGTCTAATCAAGCATTTGTGGGATGTGCTAGACAAAGTACTCCGATTCATGGAGGCTGCACCTCGTGACTAACAGAACATAACGAATCTGCAGATACCACACCTTTAGGGGTCTATTGGAGTCCATGTCTCAATAGGGGGGAACAATATTAGGCATCTGGTTATTATGTTATGCCTGATTGATATCTATTTATTGTCATCAACCACATAAATTTAATACAGTAGAGTTGTAGTTCACTGACAGACACAGCTACTGTTACGAATAAATATTTAACTTACTATAATAAATACTGACAGTTAACAAATCTGTAATAAATCTGGACCTTAGATCTAAACTTGAACTTGCAGCTTCTTGTTGTTGTTGTTTTAGTTTCTGGAATTGACAATAAACTTCGCCTTTAGTCTGTCCAACACTCTTAGGAAATCTGTCAAGACTATGTGTTCATTAATATAATAAAAATATATTTAAAAAATAATTATTTGTTCCTGGCAAAATGTTTTCATGCTGCGCAAGTTTAACCTATACTTCAGGATGTTCCAATGTTTCACAATCACCAAAAACTGTCATCAATTAGACTTCATTCCATGCTTACATCCAGTTATCACCATGGTCCTTTCTCTACTAACTGAGTCTGCCCAGCAGTTTATTTATTATTATTATTTCTTTAAATATCATTTACTGATAAATCTGAGGAAGGAAAAAAAAAAACTTCATACA